AAACCATGTTCTTCTTCAACTCGCGCATTATATCCAGTTCCGGAGGCAGCTATGGTGACAATAGCGACCTCAACGTCGCTGAGTAGAAAGCTAACATGAAGAACCTCATCATTCATGATCGTCCCCACAAGACCCAAGCCGCTGTGTGGGCTACTGACCTCGACAAGTCGACGAAGAAGGTGGAGGCATCTACCCAAACGGAAGGCGGCCGAGTCTGGGCTTACCAGCCAAAAAAAAAGTCAAAGTCTGTGAAGACATTTGCTCTATAGAGCAGAGCGGATATACTTAGATGTCTACGTCTGTTTTCTTCTCGCGATAGAGTCTGATTTTTTTAATCTCCGATATCGATAGCCATGACAGCATTCTTGCCACTATGTACGTTGTACATTGGGATATAAGCATTATTCCCTATCGAAACCACTCCAGCGTGCATCGGTATTGAACCGATGACTTGGCCAGTTTCAGGGTTAGTCAGGTTCTTTTTGATCGTTTTACTTGGTCCGCAGCCCATGATACTCTATTACAACGAAGTACTCAAGATCTGCTCTATATTTATTGGTGCGAAATTATCCCTGAGCCAATACCATATATAACCCTCTCGTGGAATTCGACAATTCGATCACATTGTAGTTGATCAGTATCAACGACATTAACGTTAGTAGTCTGAGGGCAAGCGGTCTTCGCCACGAACTGGGTTTGACAGATACCATTCTATATTTACTCAGACATAATCGCTCTCAACTCATTGAGTTCAGCTTTGAGATTATTGATTTGGCCTTGCTGTTCTTGGATAGATTTACACAGTACCGAGGTTAAACTGGCGAGATCGATTCCCCATGGATTCACTGGAAACCCATCCGGATTAAGCTCATCGTTTGCTCCGATATCTACTGCTTCTGGTATGACCTTATACAGCTCCTGCGCGATATAGCCAACATGGACAGTCTGCTCTTGAACCATCCTGAATTTTCTCGGTCTCATTCTCATAAGGCTTGCCAAACCATAGGGACAGTCTACAATGTCCGCCTTCAACCTCTCATCGCTTGCATTGGTATAGCTTCCTCCGCGCACCGGGACATAGGCTGTCCACGCGTAATTTGCATCGCATTTTCCCAACCTGACAGCTCCTACGGTTGAATCAGTACCAATCAGTCTGAGACCAATTGAATCGATACCTAGCAAATCCATCGCCGCCTCCCTTTACGTGCATGAAATTATTCGCCCATACCTCTCCGCCTGAGTGAATGGTTGCTTCTGGCGACCACGTACTCATACCAACTCCCAGTCTTCCTGAGTTGTTTAGATAAGCTTGAGTTGTGTTTCCAACCATGAACCTTAGCGGGTCGCTCGTAGTGGTGCCTAGAGCTACACCACTACTTCCTCCCGCGACATCGTTGCATACCTAAATTTCAAATTCGATTGGAGTAGTAGCATCGTTGGCTATACGCATTGCGCGTTGCCAAGACCCGCTTAGTAAATTCGCGCTCGAAACTATATCTATTTTTGCAGTACTGGTAGCTGATCCAAAGCGAATGTATCCTGCTTGAGTGATTCTCATACGTTCAGTCATTGGTGATAATGCATTAGCTCCTGACCGTGTACTGATTGCAAAATCAGCCATTGAATATTGAAGATTCGTAGCGGTTCTAGTACAATATCGATTAACGCTAGGGGTGTACGTTGTCATATCACTAGTACCTTCAATCGTGAACGATAATCCGGCCTGAGCGCCAACCGTATTGCTTTGATTACGAATCATGAGATTAAAATCAGAGGCACGCGTTGTTGATGTAAATGATGTCCCGGCCGCAATCTGACATTGGGTAGAAGTAGTGGATATCAGATTGGTTGACGTTAGAGATGAGATACCTGATGAGATGCTACTATTAGAGTCTAGTACAAGAACCTTTGATGCTTCTGCAGTTCCTGCTCCGGTGGTAAGATCTAGATAGTTCTGCTCAACGGTAGATGCTGTGCATCCAGCAAGCTTGTTCAGCCCCGCACCTGTAGCATTGAGAGTATCTCCTCTGAGTTGAAGCGTAGTAGGATTGATGTTCAAGGTCGTTGCATTCATAGTTTGAGTACCTGACTTACTAATCGTATCACATGTGTTCGTAGGCGATGATATTGAAGTCGAAGCTATAAAGTTTCGTGATATGGTTAGATCGCGAATGCCTGAGTAATCTTTCGTACTATTGAGAACCACAACGCTACTGGCTGAAGCGCCCCCGTCGATAACATTGAGAAAGTAAGCATGATTGAAATATACCCAAGAACTGACTCCATCCCAAAAATTCAGATTCGGAATGAATAAACCGGTTCCACCAGCGCTAAGGGTTAGATTACTAAGCGTACCTAGACTAGTAATATTAGGCTGAGCAGCGGTTTGTAGCGTTCCTGTTATCGACGTCGCTGGGAGCGACCTCAGGGTTCCTAGGCTGGTAATGTTGGGCTGAGCAGCTGTTGTTAGCGTACCCGATATATTGCCCGAGCCATTTACTGCGGTTAGAGTACCTAACGATGTTATATTAGGCTGAGCAGCAGTTTGTAGCGTACCAGTAATGTTAGTTGCAGTTAGCGAGCTAAGACCTGTAATGGATCGACTTGCACCAGTAAAGGTTAAACTGCCTCCGATAGTCAATCCAGTAAGCGTACCTAAGCTGGTGATATTTGGTTGAGCAGCCGTCGCTAGCGTTCCATTGATGTTTCCACTCACGGTGAGCGACGAGAGTGTCCCTACACTAGTTATGTTGGAGTCGCCAATGTACCAGATATGTTTCCACTCACGGTGAGGGACGATAGCGTGCCTAAGCTAGTAATATTAGGCTGAGCCGCTGTCTGCAGCGTGCCTGTAATCGACGTTGCCGTCAAACTACTAATAGTAGCAATTTCACCTGATGCACCAAGCACCAGAGCTTTGTTGATAGCGGCAGTACCTGGAGTAATATCAGCTACATACGTTGGTACGCCTGAAACGGAAGCACCATTAACAGTTAGGCTACTACAGCTTAGTGCTCCAAGACCGCTGATGTTCCCACCACTTCCAGGGACAAGCGCTACACCAGGTGATGCTACGCCTTGAGAGACACCGGTAATGTACGTCAAGCGATAGTCATACTTGTTCAGATAAAGAGTCTGAGCATAGTCATACGTTAGAAACCCGCTGGCATCCAATTGGAGAAAGGATGCCGGATTATAAATCGGCGATGTGAATATCGGGCTAGGATAAGAAAAACCTGAACTCATCTTTGTTCGATCCTATATAGTTTAGACGATAATCATGAGTAGTATTCCAGATTTCGGAGCTTCAATCCCTAAAAAATTTCAAAAGCGCCTCTATGGGTGATATTCCAGCACTTAACATCAAAGCGCTGTTTGGAATGGTGGTTCTGGGGCCATCGTTCTCAGGGAAGAACAACTTATGTATGTTCATCCTCAAGCATTCTCCTCACGTATTTGCTCATCTAACGATCATTGCTCGTAATCCTCACCAGGAGTTATATGAGTATCTTCGTGATAAGCTTGATGGCTTTATCACATTCGCCGACCCTGACTCGCCTCCGAGTGTTGAACGGGTACGTCATACACCAATTAATTCCAATAAGCCTGAGTTCGTCATCATCGATGACTACAGCAACGATAAGCTTCTTCAGAAGAATTTGTTCTCACATTACTTCACTAGAGGGCGCCACTTCAAGCTATCAACCATCTTCTTGAGCCACAGCTACTTCGCAATGGACAAGATGATCAGATTGAACTCAGAGTACGTAGCGATCCTGAAGGCTAATTCTAAGCGAGACCTCCAGATGGTTGTGAAAGATTTTAATATCAAGGGAGTAGATGAGCGTTCAATCGTCTATTATTAAAACAAAGGCACGGAGCGAAAGGGCCAAATGCTCTTCATTGATTCAATCAATGGTCAGATCAGGTATAACTTCGATAGACCGATTCGTATCGAGAACTAATTCCAATTTATCAAACAAAAATATGCCTACAAACAAAAATCAATATGTCCAGCATTATCAAACTCGACAGCACCAATCTGGTACAAGATGGAACCAATTCAACCTGGAAATACTCCTTTCCCGGATCGGCGGCTGACTTCCGCGATGTAGTATGTGCCATTCAATCGATTTCGATGTATAACAGCGAGTATAACATTGATTCAATGCAATTTCAAAACACAACGTTCAAAAACGAATTACCTACCGCTGCAACTAAATCCACAATCAGTGTATCCCTCCCTGATGGTATTTATTCGTATGACAATATCAACCGAAGCATTCAGACTGCTCTTGTCAATGCTGGGGCGTATCTAATCGATCCGTCGGGGAATAACGTATTCTATATCAAAATGAGTGCAAACAGTATCTATTACGCTTGTCAGCTTGACTTCTCTCCTACGCCTACAACTCTACCAACTACCGGTTGAACATGGACCAGACCTACCTCCGGTTTATACTCCTCTGGTGGTACTGGATTGCCGACTACTACTCGCGTTCCTCGACTGATCACCGATAATGCTGAATTCGGTAAAGTAGTTGGTCTCACAGCGGGTACATACCCCTCCACATCAGCTACTGTTGCAAGTGCTCAGCTATCGAACATCATTCCTCAGATTCACCCGACCAGTTCCTATATCGTTCGTTGCGATCTGATCAAAATCGAATACGTGGCTTCTGGTGATAGTGTCAGTGCTTTTGATAGAGGTGATGCCGCTATTGGAAAGATCATTTCATACAAACCGAGCCAGTATGCGTGATGAACTGTCATAATGGCGCTCGAGCTAGTATTACACTCAGTATCTATAACCAAAATGATAAAAAGTGATTTTCAGAGATACGTCGGTATCCATCATGCTTCTGATTCGTCCAAAAAAAATAAGACATCCAGAGTTTTTTTTAGGGCGGCTACAACGTAAACGAACCACCAGTCTTACGACGTGCCCTGAGCGCAGCCATCTTAGCCTTCATCTCTGGCGAGCCCTTCACTGGACGTTTCTTTACTACGCCTACACCATAGCGGCGACGAACCTCTTTTCGCACAGATCTGATTAGATCCTCATGTTCCGGCTTGGTAGCATTTGATAGTAGGAACTTCTCTCCAGCATCGACCGCGTCGGTGATGACCCCCTTGCGCTTCGTGTATGCAAGAGCATTCTTTGCAGCCTTCTTTACGTCAGCCATTGATACGCGACCTCCTTCCTTGTTGCTATCGGAATCATAAATACCAATGCCGGTTAGGGACTTGGTTGCAGCTCTGGCTGGAACAGCAGCCGTTGGCTGACCAGCATAAGTAGCTTAAGCAGGAACCGACGCATCAACGGCTCTGGATAGTAGACCTGAATCCTTAGCAAATTTGTATGCAGACTTGATCCCTCCCCATACTTTGGACCAGATAGAGCCTCCTTGAGCCTTTTTGGAGCCCTTCTTCACTTCGTGCTTAGTAATGTCGAGTCTGACACCGCGTCCAGCTTTACGAGCCTTGAGCGCCTTTTCAAACGAAGCAGGGTGGAGATAGATGACTGAACCACTACCCTTTAGTTCGGCTGAGGTGAGGCTGAGCTTACCTCTCCATAGGTTCCTTGGTATTGCTTGGTGTTGTATCGATCAATACCATACTTCTTTGGTGGTCCTTCCCCCATACTATCGAAGAATTCACCATTATGAGCCGCCGTCCAGTGTCCTACCTCAAGATTAGGAGGGCGAAGTAGAATCAGAAATGACTCTTTCTTGGGGAGATGGGACTTTATCTCATTTGATTCGAATATATTATCGAGTTGAACGTTCATTTTCTCAGCGAGTTCGATGAGATCATGATCTGAGGTGATTGGCTTGATGAGGTGCGACATAATATTTAATTTTATCAAACTATATTACGATCCATATAGATTCAACGATGAGCGAAACTCAACTATCCGATCAGTACTTGTATCGGAGCTCGCTTAAGAGCGACCCGGAGATCAAGGTATCTTCGAGCAAGCGTGTACCACACGTTATTGACCTAAATCAGGGTTCGTACCAGAATGGTGTCATCACTATCGATGCTACGGCTCAGCTTAACGGTTCCGAGGGCTTCGCAAGCCTTCGTGATGCCTACATTATGCTTCCCTACAAGGTCTCAATGAAGAATGGTGGCACTGCTCAAACTGCCGCTGCCAATCGTCTATGTGCTACTCTAAAATGCGGAAATTGGAACGTTATTGATAGTCTGAGTCTGGAACTCAACGGAAAGACTATCGTCTCTATGGCTGACTACAAGCTCTTTTGGAACAACGTTCGTGCTCAGACTGGCTACAGCCCTCAGTACGTTGAAAAGCACGGAGCTGAATCGTTCTTGTACCCTGACGCTGCTCAGTCGGTATCATTCAGCTCTGGATCCGCATCTACCAGTGGTGATGGATATTCAAACACCATGGCATTCTCGTCTTCCTTTGCTGTCTCGGCTCCTCCTGGTGGTGCAACTATTCCTAATGATGGTTTCGTTAAGCGCCATCTATCGAATCCTCCTACGGCTGAAAAAAATTTAATTCTGAAAATGACGTCGTAATGTGCCAGTAATTATTGGGAGTTTCATCTTACCCTCGCATGTGCGATCCTGCACGACTACAGGGTCGCGCGTCTAGTCGCTGGCTAGCGGACGCCTCCTCGAGCTCTGAGGTGGTTGAGAGGTCGTGTTGGTAAAACGGACGACTATCCACAAATATCGTTCTAGCACCGTTCTCGGAGGTAAATTACGGTAAGAAATTACGAAAATAAAAAACTGCCTGCGTAATGTTCTATTGCTTTTATCAATATAGTTTGAACGAGCCCCGAAACGCCCTAAGATCCAAAAGACGTGGCTCTCGCTATAAAGTGGGCGTCGTCAAATCAACGTCTATTAGATCTGACCGGTTCAGAGGTTCTAAAACTACCCTCATATCGAAAAGACGTGGCTCTCGCTCTCAAGTGGTCGAGAGGGGTCGTCGTTGAAATCGCTGCTGTCCCGAAAGAAAGTTTCAGGAATGTTCTCGGTGGTAAATTACGGTAAGGAAAAAAACTGCCGGCGTAATGTTCCATGACCCACTACTCATATTGTTCTTCCACTCGCAGCGCACTGAGGGCTGCACGGGTGAAGCGTTTTCGGAGACGCGCAAAAGCCCGCTCTTCATGGGCATGCGTGAACGAGTCATGGACTGGTCCACCGACAAAATCCACGACTGGCTCGATGTACACTATCCGGATGAGAATGATGAGGATGAGGATTACTGAAGACTTCCCTTCTTCTCTTCCGGGCACGTCTCTTCATTCTTTGAAAGTACGTTCGGCATTCATATTTTCCCTCAATTTGTGTAGATCAAGTGAAGCAAAATACACTTGACACTTGCTTGTTCGCGAATAATGCCAGGAGCTCCACATTTTCTCCAAGTAATCTTCTTGAGGGTTCACATGAACCGTTGAAACAACGTAAACATTACCACGCTACCCTACGCAATTGAGGATAGTGGCTAAGAATCCAGGCATGAATCCTCATATCCTTGTGGCGAGCTGCCAATTCCACAGTCTCCGCGGTGCAAACTTGTTTGAACTGCGAGTGCAGAAACAGCAGCACCTCAAAATGCGATCGACTGTGCTGTTTATGGCGGAGCATGTGCAGTCTTCTGAACGATGAGTGTGAAGCCATTGCACAACTTGAAAATGGCCTTGCAGCACCGCCTTGTCCGTCGCCGCTGTGGTGCATCTTCAAATGCCCATGCTCTGCTGCTCCATCCATTGCTGCGACCGTGCACCCTTCACTGCGGTGTTCGTGTAGCCACTTTACCCCGTCCTGATGCCCATTCGCTGCCGCTCCATCCATCGCTTGCGTCGTGCTTCCAGCGTCCGTATTTCAAAACGAAGAGGAAGCCAGGCTTGGGGGGATGGCGGGTCTAAACCAAAAGTGACCGCCCCCGCAGTTCGAGTGGATGGAAGCTCCTTTCTAGAAGCTTCCACAACCACCCTACATCTGCTCTATCCTATTATGTCCTTAACAATGCGAATGATACCTACAGTACTGCTACCTCTCTAATCTGATACACTCACCCCTTCCTCAGATGAGGGCTGCGTCGCTTCGTTCTCGCGGCTCTTCAAGGTACAGTCGTACTTAAGACATATGGCTACAATGCCAACTGAACTTATCCTTGTCAAGTCCGTACCTAACGGTCATTTCTCGATTGGACGTGCACGGCGCAACAGTTGGAGCTCTCGGGCGACTTCTGTAGCGGATTCGTCCTGCGCTGGCTGGTGGTGTACTCCCCCGGTCGGAGCTGGATAGGTCCTGCCAGCAGCACCGTCATGACGGTCGAGTACGGTGGCCTCGGCCACACACAGGCTGGGGCGTCGCCTTCTTCGGAGCCCGGGTCGCCATCGCGGGCGGCCCTTGACCAACTTGCTGCCGCTGCTGAGCGCGCACCCCGCGCGTCCCTCTCTTCACCGCGCGATGCGTTCGCTGCACTACTGGCCTCGCTGCCTCCGACGGATGACTTCGACTTCGACCCGGGGCTCGTGGAGCCATTCCTGCTGCTGGGTGATGACGGTGTTCCGGTGGGCTCGCGCGGCGCCCTCTCGCCAGCGCCAGCGCGCGCGCTCGATGAAGATGAAGGTCCTAGCGATCTCGTGGACCTGGACGCTCTCCTGGCTGAGCCCGACGACGACAGCGAAGACGTGGTCGTCGACCAAGGTAGTCCGGCAGTGCCTCCAGCTTTGCCAGCCTCGGTGTCCACCGTGCCTTCGGTAGTGGCCTCGAGCAATGTTGATGAACCGGCGCGCCTGCTTCAGAGACTTCGTTTAGAGCCTTCGTCGTCGCGACCCCGCGGTCCTACGCTTCGCAGTACCTCGGCTAGGCTTCAGTCTTGCAGGCCTGATGTTGAGACTCGTGTTGCTGCTCCAGCGGCACCGTCACGGTCGATGGAAACGCAGATGGTTGTCTACCACAACGAGCCTTTGCCTCGACATCCTGAGCGCCATCCGGGAAACAACCATCGCAATTACTATGATCGATCGGCGCCTTGGGACCCTAACTTAGTGAAGTAGGACACCAAGCCGCTTCAACTGTCTTGGGTATGGGAAGAACAGCTTGCTGGGTACCCGGAGTTGAAGGACCACGTTGACAAGTGGGTTGCTGCTGGACGTCCCTACACGTTCTATCGGTACGCGGACGAACACTTTGGTGGTGCGGGTGCTTCGGCGACTGGTCGGTGCTTCATGGAGGCTCTTCACGCGGCGTGTTACCATCTTGACGACCCATCGCTCATTACGGAGGACCACTGGGAACGCTTCGAGAAGCAACACAAGCGCGAGATGACCTACGGCGTCAAGCGGGAAGACATGGCTGACTTCTTCAAGTTCTTGGAGCGCGACTGTGTTCCTTTGGACTACAACGAGCTGTTCAAGTCGCGGCAAATCGACTCGTTGAACTCGCTGGCTGATCTCATCGCCTTCGTTCGCCGTGAGAAGCTGGACCGTGGATGCTACCTCGTGTGCGCCGGTCAGCACCGCCTCGATCACTGCTTCGTTCTCGTGGTTCGACTTCACCGGGGTCCGTTGATGGCGTATGATGTCTGGGAAGAGTTCGAAGATCTACCCTGTGGAATGGAGCGATTGACGAACATCAAGTGGATTGACACCGTCAAGGCCATCTATCGCATCAAGGAAGGGCCCAAACCGGAACCACCACGCGGGAAGCGACTCGCCAAGACTGAGAAGAAGCGAGCGAGAAAGGCAGCGGCGAAGTCAGCCAAAAACGCTAAGAAGAGAGCCAAGAAGCGCAGCCAGGGATAGGCATGCATCCAACCGAGAATACATGTGGCCTTGAGCTCCCTTTCATTGCTTTCTGGTTCGTCATCTTCGCTTCAAACGACGTTGGGCTTCGAATTCCGCGATCAAGTCTGGCACTTGCTTCATGTTTTCAACCGGCTCCCAAGTAGGCTTCTCTTCGCCCACCCACTCCACAAGGAATTGCGTCCGTCGTTTGTGGCGACGTTTCCCTAGGAGTCGACGCACAAATTGACTGACAGTGCCATCCGCAAGGATGACGTCGTGCGGCCGTGACAAACGACTCGGTTCATTGTAGGGCTTCAGCGAGCCAGTGTTGAAGACTGGATGTAGCTTGTTACCAGCCTGGATGTTGAGCTCGTAGGCATGGTTGTGGATCTTCCGCACAATCGTGTAAGGTCCAATCCACTTCGGTCCAAACTTGGTCGAATTCGGCAAGCCAGAGTGCTTTGGGTTGAGGTTTTGCGTGCTCAAGTACACGCGGTCGCCAACGTCAAAGACTTCTTCTTCACGGTTGCGGTCGTAGACATCACGCATTCGCTCCTGCGCCTGGGTCAATGCTTCGCGACAACTCAGCAAGATGGCGGCTTGGCGCTCATGGAACTCCGCTCCTCGTCGACTCTTGGGAATGCTCTCCAACTTCTCGGTAGCAAGCTGAAGAGGATTCAGCGGGATGAATCCCAGATCGGCCTCGAATGGCGCTCGCTTCGTGCTGGACTTGACCGTTGAGTTGACGGCAAACTCAGCATTCGCTAGATGACGATCCCAATCATCCTGAAGTGGACCAACGAAGCAACGAAGATACTCCTCCAGCGTTCGATTCATTCGTTCCGTTTGCCCGTCGCCTTGAGCTCGGTGAGCCATGGTCATGCCGCTCGGCTTCGTCCCGATTGACTTGAAGACGTGTTGCCAGAAGGCGGACACGAACTTCCTGTCGCGGTCGGTGACAATGTTCGTCGGCATACCATGGAGCTTCCAAATGTTGTCGATGAAGAGTCGAGCCACGCCTTCCGCCGTCACCTTCTTCGTAGTTGGCACCAAATGGCAACGTTTCGTCAACCGATCGACGACAACCCAGATGGAGTCGACGTCTCGCTTCGTTCGCGGGAGATCCGTGATGAAGTCCATGGAGATCGACCTCCACCGTTCATCTGGGATGCTTAATGGCTCAAGCCAACCAGGAGGCTTCGTTAACCGAGGCTTGTTTCTTCGACAGGGCTCGCAGTCTACGATAAACTTCTAGATGGACTTCAGCATCTTCGACAAGTACCAGCGGTTCGCTAGTGTCAAGTATGTTCGCTCAGCACCAGGATGGCCGCCGTAGTTGGTGTCATGACACTCGCTGATGATTGTCTGCCGCAACTTTACATCGTTGGGCACGACAACGCGCGGAGCGTCATCTGCGGGTGTTTGATACCAGAGCAGTCCATTCGCTTCAGTGTAGCATCGGTAAGTCTTCTGCTGGTTGCGTTCACGCTTCGGTTTCGAGCAGGAGTTGCGCCGCTTGATCGCTGTGAAAATGGCCTGGACCTCGCGGTCTTTCTCATACGACTTCTTGATGCTTGATATCAAGTCGGAGTCGGCAGTTACTTCGCTGATCGCCAGACTGAAGGATGTATCGTCGAAGCTTGTCACACTCAAGTCGTGGAAGAACTTCGTCTCCGGTTCCAGGTCTGGTCTTCGGCTCAAAGCGTCTGCAATACCGTTCTTCACTCCAGGGGGACACGAGAACGTCGGTTGATACTCCGCAAGGATATCATACCAGCGTGCTAGTCGGCGGTTGGCCATCTTCTGTGTGAACAGGCCTTCGAGACTCTTGTGGTCGGTCTCCACAATTGGCGGCTTGTCCAAGCAGTAGATCCGAAACGCGGCCAGTGCATGAACGATGGCTAACAACTCCTGTTGTTGCGTTGGGTAGTTGAGCTCCGCAGACTTCATCTTCCGACTGGTGTACGCAATGGGACGCTCGACACCATCGACGACTTGAAACAGCACTCCACCTACGGCGAACTTGCTCGCGTCCGTCCGCAGATGCATTGGCTGGCTGAAGTCCGGGAGATGCAGCACTGGTGGGTTGCACACCCTCCGCTTCAACTCCTTAAATTTCCTCAGCTGCACGTCGCTGAAGTGAATTTTCGCGTTGCGCTTGGCCTTCTTCTTCAGTAGGGCGAACATGGTTGCCGTGAGCGAAGCGTATTACGGGCGAAAGCGTTGCACGTAGCCAGTCAGACCCAAGAAGCTGTGAAGATCCTCTTGGGTCCGCGGCACGGGCCAGTCTTTGATGGTCTGCACCTTGTCGGGGTCCATCCGAACTCCGTTACGTCCCACGAAATCACCAAGGCATGGAATCTCGTCGGCGCAGAAGACACACTTGGACAGTTTGACGTACAGCTTGTTGTCGCGCGCAAGATATCCAACGTCTCGCGCAGCGCCTCCAAATGGTCTTCGATCTTCGGCGGCTTGGTGAAGATGTAGATGTCATCGTAGAACGACTTCGTGTTCTTCAAGTCTCGGAACAGCTTCGAAGTCAACCGGTGCATTGTTGCTGGCGCGTTGCAGACTCCCATCGGAAGTACAAGATACTCCCACAGTCCGTTTGGCGCCTAGAAAGCTGTGAACTTGATGTCTTCCTCCCGCATACGCACTTGGTAATACGCGGACATCCGATCCATAGTGGAGAACCAGTACGCTCCAGACATGGCGTCCAAGATGTCTTCCTTCCTCGTCATCGGGATGCTCTGGCGCACAGTGTTTGAATTGAGATACCGGTAGTCGTGAACGATTCTCCAGCCGACTGGTTTCCGGACACAGAATATCGGCGCTGCGTGAGGACTGATGCTTGGTCGGATGGGCTTCTTCCTCACCATGTCTTCGACCCAACGCACGATCTCACGCTGCTGCTCAGGAGACTGTCGCCACTGTTGTCGGTATATCGCCAGATTTGGATCCTTCACATCGATCCGATGCTCAATGTCCCGCTTCTCTGGTAAACCTTCGGGTAGCTCAGGACGGAACACGTTGTCCTTGTACTCCGTTAGGAGGTCGAAGGCTGGATTTTCACGGAAACTGTCCCAGTCCGTTTCCAGATAGCGCTGTGCTTTCGCACTACCAACATTGTCGGGCTGGTCTCGCCGTTGCAGTGAGCGTGCAACTTGCTTGATCGTCTCGTTCGAGAGCACCAACATAAAGTCGGGCTCCTCGGCCGACTTGGTCTTGATTCTCAGGAACTTCCGCAGTTTCTTGCGGGTGATGTACTTGGTCTGCACACCACTCTCGTCAACAACACCCATCGTGAACATCTTCTCCACGACGGTGTCTTTACCCCTGGTCCTGCTTCTTTCGTCGGCTTCTCGTGCGGTACTCTCGCGCTCTGACGTCGCAACGTCGTCTTCTCCAGCTGAACACTCGCCAGCTTGCGGGTCATCTCCTCGTCGTCTGCTGGCAACGGTCGGGGTCTCCTTCAGCACTGCGTCGCGAACAGCTTCGCACGTGGACTTCACACCCGTTTCCAGCTCGGCGCCTCGACAGGAATCGGGTCATTTCGCCGAAAGGCCTTTCGCCTCGACAGATCTCCGAAGCCCGGAGGCAATCACCGGTCCGCCTTCCTCGATCGGTCCACAGGTGTCACCTGTCCGCTCCCAGCGCAGAGTCTTCTCTCTCGTTCCTTCGATACGTCGACCTCTCCAATCAATTTGGGGCTGCTTGTCCTCGAAGAAGGGTATCCCGAGGATGCAGTCGAATTCGTCGGGTATCGCGTAGACGACGGCGACACACTGGTACGCCTCGTCCAGACCCGACACGTGGATCTTCAAAGGCAGAACTTCCAGCTCCGTCTCCCCGATTAGGTTGTCTCCAAGCTTCACGCGAATGCTCTTGTCGCTGAACTTCGTCGTTCGAAGCTGGTGCTCCCTGACCCAACGCTTTGACACGTAGATCGTGGTGGCTCCACAGTCCAGCAACACGCTGCGTGTAGTTAGACACTTGTCACTCACGCTGATCTCACCAGTTACTGAGAACAGCGGACGTGACTTGTAGACCAGAGGATTTTCACAGGCTGATATTCTCAATCTTAAGTGTTCTGGTTACGATCTCAGCCACGACAGGACCCTCCTTCACTGCCGTGGTTGCCCGTTTCCCTGTTTCTCCTGCTCTTTCTTCCAGAGAAAGCAGTTGGTCTTGATGTGACCAGGCTTCTTGCAGTGGAAGTAGGTACGACCCTCGGCGCGTTTGGGCTCAGCTCTCGGCTTGAAGCGGCTTTTCCCGCGGAACGGCTTCCCCTTGAAGGGTTTACCTTGGGCGTGAGGTTGATCAGCCGACGAGAACTTCTTGTCGCACTTGGGTTGACGGTCGCGAGCTTCTTCGACGAAGTGAGTCACCTCGTACTTGACAGCCAAGTCCATAGCGTCGCTCAGGGTCTGGGGGTTCTCGAGCTTGACGTAGCTGCGCGTGCGAGGCTTGAGACCGTTCGCGTAGCACAGCACTTGGTCGAGTACGCTCATGCCCTCCACTCTGAAGATGAGAGCTGAGTACTCACCGTTCTACGTCTCAATGTCTGCTGCCTGCTTGAGTCGCTGAAGCTTCTCGCGCAGGACAGCCTGGTAGTTCGATGCATCGAAGTGTTGGAGCACATGCTCACGGAAAACCCCCCACGTGTGCTCCTCGCTTCGAGTCGTCGACGACCAGTGCAGGAACCAGCCGGATGCAGGCTTCTCCATCGCCGACCCCGCGATTCCTGGTAGTCGGGTGCTTGCGTCTTCGATCGGGATGTTGTTGATTCGACAGGCGTTCTCGATCTGGAACAGCCATTCGCGGACATCCTCCCCTCGCTTGCCGGTGAACTTCGGCAGGTTGCTCGGCACTCGCGTGCGGTCCGCCATCGCTTGGTTCAGCCGATCGATCTCGGCGCGTAGTTGGGCGATGGTGGACATGGGCTCCTCGTTGTCAGGTTGCTGGGACCAACAAGTGCTACCAGTATTTCAAAACGAAGAGGAAGCCAGGCTTGGGGGGATGGCGGGTCTAAACCAAAAGTGACCGCCCCCGCAGTTCGAGTGGATGGAAGCTCCTTTCTAGAAGCTTCCACAACCACCCTACATCTGCTCTATCCTATTATGTCCTTAACAATGCGAATGATACCTACGGTACTGTTACCTCTCTAATCTGATACAGTCCGTATTGAAGTGCAGCCATTTCATAACGTCAAGATGTCCGTTGGTGGCGGCACCGTCCATACCATGAAATATCCGACTATCGGGGGAGTGGTTAGAGCAACCATAAGTATGGTTGCTTTTAGCCATTCTGAGACATGTATGGTTGCTTTTAGGGATTTCAAAAATTTCAAGCGTAATTTAAATGTCTAAATTACCATTAAGCCCTTAGGTTCGCAAATCACGCTAAAGTGCGCGAAGACGAAGACATTGTTCTGGATGAGGAGGATGAGGAAGACAACGGCAACGAAGAGGCGGAGAATTGCTACCAAGAGGAGGAAGACGAAGAAGAGGTCGATGATGCCGAGGAGAGCGATAGCGATAGCGATGGAGAGGAGGGTGACGACGATGAACAGGAGGCAGACGACGACGGAGAATCCAGCACAGAAGACGAAGCAGAAGCGGGTAAGACTCGTTTGGATTATTGTTGATACTTATTGAGTTGAACTGATAATGTATTGTGTATTTTTTTAGTTTGTTTACAACGCAGGACACGCAAACAGAGCCCCGAGCCGAGAAAGAAAGCCACAGCACGCATGAAAACACCAGGTATTCTCGTTAAAGTTGCTTTAAGCAAAAAGGTTGCGCTATCATTAATATTGACATTCACTTTGGAATCGATAGATACCGCTCTGGCCAAATGCAAGCTTTCTGCTGGGGATGAAGCCCAATCTTTCGCGAAAAAGCGTAAGGCGGAGCTGCAGCTTCACGAGTCTGTCGACGCTGATTCGGTCCCACGTTTATCCAAGCGGAACAAGCAGTACATACCGCGGAAGCGATCAAGCAAGCACCTTGACGAGTTGCGGGAGATCAACGAGGAGCGCGAAGAAATTATCAACCCCGTTCCGCCCTTTACCCCAGCGATTATCAAGAGTTGGAGCAAGTTCAACGCACACTTGAAAATATACAAGCAGAAGCACCACCTCAAGTTTCGAGTACGAAGCTCGGAGACACGAAATCAGTACAACAGGTATGTGTGACCTCTGTTTGATGAGACATTTAAGTTATTATCGAAACCCCCTTTCATATGCAGCAATCATCGGGACCAAATCCCTTCACGTTTTAATTGGAGTCACAAGGTCCTCCGCTGTACACACGGTGTTTCGCAAGCGTCGCGCTCCAAGGGACATCGCAATAGAAAAGGCAACTATTGCGGGTGTCCTGCACGCATGACACCAACCGTTCAGCGGACGGAAAATGGCAAATTTCGAATTGTCATAAGAAACGAGGTATCTGCCTTTTCGTGTATTTGTTTGCTTTGTTAGTATTTCTCACATGTCGCTGTTGATAATCAGAACTTTACCCACACGCACCCGACCACCCGAACGCAAGCATCGTTGTACCTGACAACAAAGACACTTCCGTTGGACGAGCAAGATCTCGAAGATGTTAAGACTTTAACGGATGCTAGTGTTTCTTCCAAGCACATCACGAACTTCCTGAATGAGAGAATCGGTGCGTAGTTTTATATATGATATGCTGAAGTGATACTTACGTTACTGTTCGCGCTTTGTGCGTTTGCTAGGCTGCAAAATAACACCTCAACAGACCCGTAGTCTGATCCGCAGTATTATGGGGCACGACGCAGCGGAGGCCCGTTTGAAAGACATGCTGCAAGCTATCCGCCAGTTAGACGGTAGTGACGTCCTTGTTATTCAAGACCAAATGGACGTGACATGCGGTATCGTGATGCAAACAAATGTGCAGAAGTTGATGTTCGAGCGCTGGGGCGACACGCTTACGATGGATTTCACTCACGGCACGAACAATTTGGGCTATCACTTGGGTGCGTATGAGTTGTTCGGTATAGCAACTTTATCTTTGTTACGGCAACCTTGCGTAGTTATAGCAACCACACCAATGATATAGCAACCTTATTAACAAAGTGATTTTCTACTGTTGTGTGTTAGATATTTCAGGGAGGCTGGTCGTCACAACCGCTACTGGTAGAGGGTTCCCAGTTGTACACTTCATATGCCTCAACCAATGAGCTCCGATGATGACAACAATCCTGGAGTATTTCCAAGAAAAGAACCCAAGTTGGCGGATGATATCCTCCATCGTGATCGACAAAGATTTCGTTGAGTGGAGGGTGCTGAAAACACTATTTCCTGCTGCGAAAGTTTTACTTTGTCAATTCCATGCAATTTCGTACTGGAAGAAGGTGATGCAGCGGGCCCCATAGAAGCTGAAGGTGTCTGAACGCGACGAGTTACTCAACCTGATGATAAAAACGATGTACAGGTACGCAACAGGTTCTATTTATGATTCCTGTGGTAACGCTAACTTTGGAAAACAAACCATATGCAGCTCCACAGAGACAGGTTACGATTCTAGTTACGGTGCATTGAAGCAATACTGCGAAGACAACAAGAAACAAGCTTTATTCTCGTACTTTGAAAAGAACTGGGATTCGTGTCGAGACATGTGGGCGAACTTTGCTCGCAGCAATTTTTTCACGGCTGGGAATACTACAACGAACCGGATCGAGTCAAACTGGAATCAAGTGAAAATACTGTTGGGGCACAAGACACGAATTGACAAGACTATTGCGGGCTTGGTGCAGCATCAAATCATGATAACTCAGCAGATCGGGTTCGTCATCGCGCAGCACCATTCGACTTCGCCCGTTCCTAAAACCATACCGATGTTTCTCCGGACGGTAGCAACTCGACTGTACCCTGACATCTTCGAGAAAGTGAGAAAAGAGTGGGAACGATTTGTGAACTTCATGGCAGATGCGACTTGTGAGCGTACAGCGTCGACTCCTTCACAATGGAAAATTTATTGCGGGAATCAAACCTTTCGCTGTCACGATGTGGAGTGGACGTGTACTTGTCTATTTTATAGCAGCCACCATTTACCATGTCGTCATCTTACGCACATAGCACGCGAGGGGCATGGCTTCAAACTGCTTCCAGCTATGGCAATTCATGATCGGTGGAGTACGTACCAGACCTTGGAAGTGAAAAACGAATTGACGGCTGCAGCGGAAATGTTACAGCCAATTGTGCAGATGTCCAAGTTAAGGTTGTTGAAAGTAAAGTTGCCGAACGACACTGGGGCTGAACCAGAACAACCACTTTATGCTGCGGGGGGTAACGTTCCGCCAACCAAAGCTAGGAAGCAAGTTGCGTACGTACGGCTACGGCGAGGTGAACGGGCAACCCAGGTTGTATTGTCTTCAGCTGAAAAATACGCATACGCAAAAGCGATGCTGGAACCGCTATTGGAACACCTGTCAGATTTGTCTAGTGCAGACTTCTACCAAGAGCTAAGTGCCTGGAAGGAAACGATCGACATAGGGCTCAACCGTGTCAACCCTGCCCCCCAACCGAGTTCTACAGAATCTGCTGAAGATAGCAAGCAAGAAGAAGATGTATCTGACCCTGTCTCAGACTCCATTCTGGACCCCGTGGAGGCAATGGGGACTATGACGCTCATGGACGCATCGGAAAGCAGCCCCATGACCATGAATTATGGCGATTACGAGTCCGACGAAAGTATGTTACCGATACAACGCACTCACCTTTCGCAGTCATCTCCAATTCGACCCCCCATCGATGAGAAATCTCATGACAGCTGCGGAATGAGTAGCTGTGACAAGGTCTCAAGCTCTACGAAGCCTGACACAGAGTCGCGCGTGCGCCAGGTCGATGTCGTTAGAGTTCCTAAGCCACCAAGCCAAGGAAAGTCAAGGTCAACTCCGAAACAGCTGAGGCAAACTACGATCAGTCTCAATGCCGACCGTCTTGCTGTTCACAAAGCCCCCCCCCCCCCCTGAACTTGCCGTGACTTTGGATCAGTTCCTGATTTGGGCCAGAAACACCTCAAATCTGAAGCGCGTGATGGAGATGCTGTCGAAGTATCGTGTTCAGCTGGAGGATGCCTATCTAAGAGCTCGGAAGATTGATTGTCATTGGGAAATTGTACGACCTGCGGACTACATGCACACATTTGTAATTCCACAAGACCTCGCCCTATCAATGCAGGCAGCAACGGCTACTACCTGGAAGGAGAAGCAGCCAATTGTACTGGATGAAAAGGCCAAGAAGCAAGGACTTGTTCTCGACGTCGTCTTGGCGATTGATCCAAAACTGTGTAAATTTAGCGGGTATGGTTGCTTTAGCGATATGGTTGCTTTAATAGGGCTGCTTTAACATGCTTATATTTCTAGACAATATGTAGGTGCTCTAACCAGATTCTACGCGATCAAGGCGAAGTGTACCTCATGGTTGAAGGACCGAAAGTGGCTGGAGCAAGATTGGCGTAAAGTTGACTCCATCGTGGATCTTTTCGCTGCGGAGGCAGCAACTGCAGGACTACCGCGTGATGCTGTTCCCGAGCGGCACCAAGGTCTAGCGAACGAAATTATCTCAAAGTTTACTTCAAGTCGGCTACGCACTGAATTTGTGACACTCTCCAACAAAGTCCTGATCAGCTTTGACAACATCGTGGGAGGGATATGTCGTGGATGGTTAAATGATAGCCCTGTGGACTTTTGCTTGGAGACCCTTGCGAGATCGGTGAGGAAGTGCCATGTGCTGTCATCACTGACATGGGCTATCGGATGGCCAAGTCTCCCTAAGACAGCACTTGCAGCAACGAATTTTATTATCCACCCCGTTAATCTGCACGCAGACCACTGGGGGGTAATTATACTTCGCATACGCTACACGGCAAAAACAAGCAAGCTTCGGGTGAATGTTTACATGTACGAGCCGCTCATTGATGATGACTATCACCATGAAATGGAAATCGTGTGGACTGGAATTCCGAAAGACAAAGAAAATGAAGGAGAGGAGGGGCTTCGTGGTTATGTGGAGCGGCGGCACAAGGCTTCTGACCCCCGTGGCCATCTTTTCATCGATCCGATTGAGTGGATCTGTGCCCCTCAACAACCTGATTTTGCTAGCTGTGGTGTAATGGTAGTAGCCCAAGCCAACAGCAATCTTACGGGGAACTTGCAGATGCAACTTTCTAGAATTTCCAAGAACGACGTCAAGGTGATGCGATTGAAAATGCTGTGGGTCATCATGTGTTACTCCCAAGAACGTCATCTCTCTGAACGCGACGTCGCTAAAGCTAGCCAGATTCATCAGCAGCTACAGAACCAGCTCTGAGAAACACCACAGTCTGTATTTACCTTTAAATACAGAGTCTATGCTGCATTAGTCTTTCATTTTTCGCACCGCCAGCTCCAGTAGAACATCGAGGGAAACAGCGTCGTCCTCTGCGGTGAGACCACCTTGGTCGGCCCCTTCATCGCCCAAGACGGCTGCTAACGCATAGCTGTTCTCTTCGCGATCTTCGACGAGGGCTTGGATTTTTAGCTGCGCTGCCAGAAGCTTTTCCGGATGCTCGGTAAGCTCATCCAGCTTCTTCTTGAGGAGTGCAATCTCGGCGATTCTCGCGCGCACCAGCTCATGTGCCAGCGATTTCTTCTCCATTTTTGCTGTCGCTCAAAATCTGCTAAGTGTTGAAAATGTGGGACACATATTGTCATGTGTTTCACGTATTGCTGTGTAGAGAACATCAGTTAGACGCCACCACGACGTGTCTAAATTTAGATATATATGTAGCAAGACAATGACGAGGGCGACGTGTCCCTGTCATTTACGCGTCATTTAAAATAAATTACCGGGTGCCAGCTGGTTTTAGGGTTGCTTTAGGCCTTGTGGTTGCTTTAATTTCTGTCGTGTTGTCGTCATATGGTTGCCATTCGACGATCGGACCTATCGTACCTGTACCAAAAACATGGTACCCTACAAGGATGGACTCTAAAAACAAATATATAAGTTTGTGTATTATGTTGTGGGCCACACACCGATTACACTTTTGCTCATTTTTATTCTAGCGTTGGAGGGCAGAGTGCCGGAGGCCGCGGCGGTGGCGCCGAGGGACTCCGGCCGCAGGAAGGCAGCGGCAGGTAGCAGGCTCCAGGACGAAGGTGAAGCCGCAGGACGACGGCGGCAGGTCGGCGGAGCGGAGGCAGGTCGGTGGCTGGCTGGACGGCGAGGCGGCGGCGGCAGGGAGGCAGCAGTCGGACGGCGACAGGTTGGTGGGGCGGTGGCGGGGCGGACGGCTGCCCGGAGAACCTTGATGACTTGCCCGGCAGGGCGGCCGGCAGGCTGCCCGTTGGGTGAGCGCCTGCAAGCTGCGGCGCGCCCTCCCGGCAGCCCCGCGGCCCGCAGAAGCAGCTGCCACCACCGCCGCCGCCGTGAAGACCCCGCGAGTGCTAGTGCCTTACCTGGAAGGGCTGGCGGCATGCTGCTCGGCCCAAGAGCTGCGTGCTGCCCGCTGCATGAGCACGCAGCACGTGCGGGCTGCACGATGCCAACCACGCTGCATTGTTATGAGATTATTCGTTATATAATAAACGTATATTTAATAAAACTCCTCCACTGTTAATGTACGTGCCTAGCGGCTTCCCTTACGCGCTCATTATACTCACCATGCACGCTCCTACATTGCTACATCACAACGTCGAGATGGCCATTTTCAGTTTCAAATCCTGCATATGTACCTCAATTATGGTACAGGTCCGATAAGGTCGGATAAATGGGAAATATGCGTGTGATACGAGTTTATCTAAGAATTTGTATAGACATACACATATTTTGCAAGTCGGATATCGGACTTCCCTAACCCTATCGTAATATATTGGCCGAAACTCTGCCATGACCTCCCTATGATTGGCGCAAATAAATACAAATGCTGTAATTGGCTGTTAATAGGCATACAATAAATAAGTAAGGTCGGATAACTCGTCATATTCAACCATAGCAGAGCTGGTACATGCTATCTCCGGATAGTTATCGTTTAGCCATTGTCCCACATGGAGATGACCTCCTGTAGCTGCTCCATCGATGGCGTGGCTGCTGTTATACGCCACATCAGTCCCACCAAACCACTTGACGACATCCAAATGGCCGTTTGATGCAGCACCGTCGATGGCCTTGTTCGTGCATTTGTAGCGACCCTTATTCGATTCATCCTTGTTGCGCTTTCGACTGTCAGCACAGAAAAAATATCCATCACCTCCATCGCCCGCAGCACCTTACAGTACCTGCTGGGGGACAGAATAGCTGCCTTACTTGATCGGAGTGCGGCATTACTAGCACAGCCGTGCATCAAAACACCTGCCAGCATTGTTGCTCTTAATCAAAACTGCATGCACAGGTAGCAAGGGAGCCAGCCTGACCGAGGTTGCGCTTTGTTGCAAGTTTTTGCGAACCTAGCTCGAGTCAGCAACGAATGCTGCTCATTCGTGAGCAAATAAGGTTCGACGCAGCGTTGTGCTTTCGGATGGTTGCCCCAGCGTAAAGCCTAAGCATACAACGATGACAAGTAGCGCTGATAAGCTCAGGCTGATTCTTTGGGGACGTCGTCAAATGTACAGTTTACTGTACGTAAGAGCTGCTCAGCTATTGATTATTGTACATCAATTTTGTGATGACAGGTTTTGATTTCTAGCGATAAAAACTATACTCATCTCTCTCATTGCAGTATTTGCAGTGGAGGAGTTGCATCATGGCAGAATAAATTACCTGGTTTCTGGTGGTGAACAGACAAGGACGGGCACTCGCTGGAGTCAGGACCGCAGTTGTATCGGACTGTGTGTCCGTCGAAGCGTTTCTCAAAGCTGCCTACCGTGTATGCTCTTCCTGGCTGCCCTCGAGTCTCATCCCTTGGACCTAACAGTATCCCCGAACAAAGCGGCCCATCAAAGGGAGACCTCGATGAAACTAGCTGACAAGCTCGGTGACTTGGGAAAGAACGCCGATGACCCACTTATTGTGAGGGTACCCGAAGTATGGTTCCAGTTGGTGGATGCTTCTACTCGGGATGTGCTTACAGGAAGCAGCGAACACCCAGCATATATCAGAGAGGAGAGCATCGTTGCTGAGCTGCGAAGAATAGTACGAAAGATGTTACCTTACACGCTTCCACAGTCGGCGGTTATCAAGATTTACAAGAACCGACAGCATACGTCACGAAGGAAGAGGAGATGCATGGAGATGAAAATATTGGCTCGTTCGGTAAAACCAGGTCGACCGTACTCGTTGTTGAAGTGCCAAGCTTCACCTCAAACAATTCAGCACCAAAGCACAGCGTACTCGGCACCCGTGAATTCGACAAGATGGGAGGCAACCTTCACAACGAGCCTCCTCCTAAGAGGTCTAGACTGCGACAGTCGCGACTTACGACTGCGGGTCCAGTGATCGAGGGTTTTTTCTGTTCCGATGGAAAGTATCGCCGCTTTTCAAACGATCAAGGATAGATTTTCAGACACTTTATCGCTCGATCGTCCCCTGTTTGTGCTGCATGGACCACGACACTTCGGCAAATCAACGATAACCTACGCAATTGAGATGTGGCTGACTGCAGATGTCCCTGATGTGGTGCGCGCATCTATTCAACTGATGCTTCCTCACACGGATAGCGACAATGTGTTTTGGAATGTCATGGGGAAGACCGTCGACAGGCAAAGCTCGCGTGCCAACTCGACATCATTCATGAATATGGTGAAAATTCGCACCGGTGTCACGAAGAAAAGGGTCTGTTTTATCCTGGATGAAATGGATGCTCTTCTCGCGAAGCCCGCGTTGATGGTTGCGTTCATTGCTGTGCTTCGGCAGCTAGAAGCGTCGTCCTACTTGTGTGGATTTCTTGGGGTTAGCAGACATGATTTGGGGCGCCACTGTGATTTTGGTCCTGGAAACCTGTACAAGGAGGTCAACTTGCTGAAGGCCGAGCCATTTTCAACGGGTCAGATGGCTACGTTTTTCGAGCTGATTGAGCCACGTTCCAACTTCACCAAGTCACTTCGGCGTGCGATCATGCAGTCTTCTAGTGGTGCGCATTGTGTGTTTGGATCCATGGTTCGCTTGACAGTCGATCATGTGAAGTGGACGAATGAGGGCTGCGAATGGGAGCTGTGGTTCAAGCAACTGCGGATCTCACTATTATTGACAAACGATATTAGCAACTTTTAGACATCTATCTTGACGGCAATACACGCGCGCACTTGGGGGCCGTGGCGTTTACCCTTTATACACCTGGTTGGCTGTCTGTCACCTTCTCATTGCCGCCAACTCGTCTTCTCTACGGCACTCGTTAAAAATCAAACTTCTCAGTAGGAGGAGCTCCAGTGGATTGTCCACTAGAGCATCGACTGCGCAGAGGGGCCTTCGCTAGCCCCTCCATCAGCTCACGCAGCTCGCCGCTCTCATCGCGTGCTCTTGCTTGTCGACTGGTGGGAGCCCCAGCTGCCGCCGGTGGTAGCGGCGCTGCAGTTGTAGTTTGCCGCGGTTGTCCTTGCTCTTCATCCGAGGAGGACATGTAGCCACCGTTGCCTGGGTTTGCCTCTTCACCGTCTTCACTCCCGCTTGGTACTTCATCCGGACCTGCCTGCGCAGCAGCGATAGCCTCAGCAGGACGACGATCAAGACTTCGCCGTTGAACTTTCTGGAATCGATCCTCGGGATCGAACACGTAAATCGTTGTACCTTGCACGGGTGTCGGTGCTGATGCTGCCGCTCCGGTTGGCCGGGCTGAGCTGAATGGTGGGAGAGCGGGAGGTGCCGCTGGAGGAGGAGGCGGGGGCGGCCTTCTTGATGCTCTTGATGTAGCGTTATGTGGCGGGAATGACGTCGAAGGATCGGTGTTAGACGGTGTTTCTGGCGGTGACGGAGATGGCGCGTTGATGTTGGCACCGGATCGTCGGCGTGGCGGCGCGTGCGTGAGCTCACTTGAGTTCATGACGCCGCGGAGACTAGCGACGAGGTCGGGCGGAGCACGAGATGGTTCGGAGAGCCGCGGGCCTTGTCCTCTTGATGCAGTCGAAGTAGGAGACGAGGGCGCGGCGTCTACTGCTATTATGGCCACATGCTTCTCCTTTGGAGGCTGTGGGGCAGGTCCACGCGCCTGCTTCAGTGCTGGTAGCGGTGCAGAAGACTGTCGGTGGTGCTGCGTTGAACGCTGTTCTGGCTCCGGCTCGTCCTCTGCGTTTTCGTCAACAACCGGTGGCACACCCACGGGAGCTGCTACAGTGGCAGCTGGATCACTGCTAGTGTTCTCGGACTCGCGCTGTGATGCCTCAAGACGCTGGTGGAGACGCCCGATCTTCTGCGCAAGGCGTTCAATACCGCGGTTCTTACTCACGGTCACGACTGATGTCGGTGTTGTACCTGGTGCTGGTTCTGGTTCAGATTGTCGCTCTGGCTCGACGGTCATTGCAGACACTGGCAGGCTCAAGTGTGCGATTGGCTCGGATTGCCGAACCCACTGCATGGCTTCCTCCAGTGCACGGGCTTCTTCGACAGCGCTCTCATCTTCTGGTCTCGGGGACGGAAGCGGCTCGCCGGCGTCTTGATGGTCCAGCGACTGCACCGATGCTGACAGTAACGACGATCGTGACGACATAAATTCTACACTCTCGCTCTCGTACGCGCTGCCTGTGCCTTCGCTGAGGCTGAAGGCCAACTCACTATCCAGTCGGTCGGAGTTGGTGTCTGACGGGCCCATTGGATCGTTATGTCCGATGGATTCGAGCACCATATCGAAGTCAGAGCTGGATACGTCCAGCGTCTCACGGATCTTCATGATGCGGTCGTAGATCTCGTCGTAGCGCTCTGCACCTGCGTCTGGGTCTCCGTGCCCGCTCTCGAGCAGCATGCTATGGCGTTCCTCCTCTTCCTCGGCCTCCGAGATAGCCACATTGATCGTGTCACGGATCTGTCGAACGTGCTCAATGAGCTTTCCCAGCGCCTCCTTCTTGGCTTGAGCTGACATCGACGTCGAGGATGACAGCGTCGAGTGACGCAACACGCTTGACCTCCGTTTTCGGTGTGCTGACTCGGATACTGCCCTTGGGAAGTGGTCGCTGCCTTCATGATCATCATAATGACCATACCCATGTCCTTGGGCGCTGTTGTGACTCGAGAGGGGGCGATGCCGCTGTCGGAACGACGGGATCGGCGAGCGCACAGGTGTCGCCTGCGACGACGAGCCACGCAGAGAGTCTTCAATACCCCCTCTCCTCAGTCCTCGATGCTTCGGATACCTCAGTCCACCCACGTACGTCTCCGTGCCCACATTCGTCGTCGACGTCGTGGTCTCCAGCCCGTCGTCACTGTCCGTAACCCCAGAGATCATGCTGCTCTCCTGGTGGCTTCCCGCTTGTGCCATACACACCGAACACACTCGCATAGTAAGCGTGTGTTCGTCCAGAGGCTCGTCAAGCTCACGCAACGGGGCGCAGTTGGAGCACACAACTTCACCACACGTAGCGCAATGGTGCTTCCGATGGAAGTAGAAGCCGCGCAGACACACGGCGCAGGCCTTGCGTTCCTTGGTAGAAACCCACTCCCACTCGTCGAGATACTGCAGTCTCCCCATCCTCTGCCTCTCCAGCAGTCCCTTCACTCGGTGCACCGCAGCGACGTAGTCCACCATGATCTCCTCCATCGTCATCCTCACGGCTGCAGGCACCATACCCCCATCAATCTGCGCAATGGCCGTGACCTTCAAGATGTTCGACTGGTGGGTCTTGGTGATCAACACCCCCGTGCGCACCAATTGTCCGCGTAGAATATCATACCTCTCGAGCGTCGGCACCTCTCTATCTCTCGCAATACTCTCCTGCACACAAAAGCCCACGACACTACTAGAGCCCGCGTGGGCCTTCCTTTTGCCCGCGTACTCCAAGTAGCAAAAGTCGAGCGACTTCTGTCCCTCTCGCCGCTGGGCCTTAAGTAACATCCACTTGATAACCCGGTACGAGTAACTGGGCGTCTTGTGCTCCGAGGGCGTAGGAAATGTCAATAAAGTCTGCGTGTCCACGAACTCGTCTCCATGCAGATAGCTCATGGCGCGCCGTGCGTCGCGCGTCTTGACCTTGGCCAGCGCAGTGAGGATCTCCTCCGGCTGCACGTCCACGATGTGCACGCTGCACTTGAGCAAAGTGGACGGCGTCTGCGCCGCCGGCTGCTTGGAGGACGGCCGAATGTCCAGGAACTGCGCGCGCGCGACCGCGCGGCCGCCGCGCGCCTTGGCGTCCGTCCAGCGGTACACGCAGTCGGCGTCGTCGATGATGCGCACGAGCTGCGCCACGCGCTCCTTGCCGAAGCGCCGGTAGTGCATGAGCTCCTCCACGGTCAGCACCATCTGCGGGAAGAAGCCCGAGTACAGCGGGAAGGGCAGCTCCGTCGCCATGGTGGGGATGGCTGGCCCGAGGCTCACTTTAAAGGCGCCTCCTTGTGTGGTACAGCGAGAATTCCAGACTGAAGGTGTGCTTTGTGCTTTGTATCGTTTGCTCGAGGTGACCGGTCTCTGGGCGACGTGTGTGTGCGTTACACCAAAAGTGCAGGTTGTACGGGCCACTGACTCTTCAATCCCAGCTGGTAAACTTCAACGCGGAAGTTGAGCGAAGCGAGGCCAGTCATCGCCGACTTATTGGCGGTAGATACACTTTTTGGATACTGTGGGGCGTGTACGGGTACTGTTGGGCTGGTTGTGGCGTATTTTGGCAGAGAGGTTGGACTTTGGAGTTCTGGTGGAGAGAGCCACACTGGAACGAGAACCTTCGAGCAGCGTTCGGAAACGTGATGAGCTCTCGGGTGCAGTCAATTGTGTCCTTGGCCCACGCGCGAGCTGTATGAATCGTTGTGTATTTTGTAGGAATACGTGATGGCAATGGTTAGTGTTAGCCCCGCTTCAGGGTTGCTCTCTCGTGGATGCCTAAGAAGACAGCGTCCTCCTTCTGCAGGCAGCTGACGATCGGCGCTGGGTTTTATGAGCGGCCATCTCAGGAATCCATTGTCGAGCTTGAGGAGGATTCTCTCCAGAGCGATGGGTTTATCCGATCTTACTGTTGCTGGCGCCGACCTCCACGGCTCAAGCTGGCTGTACGTATCCAAGGGCGCAATGCTATTTTCACAACATCCGTGGCAACTGTTCCCCCATTCGTAAACACACACAGCTGTAAACTGTAGCACTACGGAAGAGCTCACTTAGAACCGAGTGCGCGATATGGTCCAGTTTTTGACAATTTTCACGAAGCGGATGAAAATTGTACACTTTCGCAACTACATAACCTAACAAGTCAATACTGGACGAACATGACTAGGCTCTTGCTTGTTTGTTGGCAAAACCAAGATCTGTACTTAGTAAGGTATGAATGTACTCTAGACCACCACCTTTCGCTATATTGGTAGGCGTGGTTGGACCGTAGACTTCGTATAGCCGTCAACAGTCCTCAACATGTCGACATGTCAATCCACGCACGATCGCAACATTGTGCGATTGGTTGGCTCTCAATTTCTTCCCGGGAATTCCGGAGGACGGATTAAGCTGAATGTACGATCTGTGGGTCAAGGCACCCGAAAAAATAATACTCATAAAAATACATTCGAATACTTTAATTCAATGATTAATTTTAGACCCTCAATTTATTTTTGAATTGCACACAATTCGTATTTGAATTGCTCAGATGGAGTTCGTTGCAGCCACCAGTGTCCGCCGAAGAGTCCACCACCAACCACTCGCCGATCTGGCACCACTTCACCGCACCACTCGCAGCGGAGGCTCCTTCAGAATCAAATTTGCTTTCTTCACCCCTCACCGCCCAAGCCCCTCGCCCCACGTGTCCACCATGGTCCTCACGAGCAGCCAAATCTGCTCCATGCTTTTCACTGATGTCGGCAACGCCTTCTACAAGTGTACATCCTGCGACAAGCAGTACAAGAAGGGCAACGGCTACACGAACCTGCTGAACCACCTGCGGCGCAAACACAACAACTACGAGCAAGAGGCTCAGGAGGCATCACGCCGCCAGAACCTGATGCGCCTACACCTCGTCAGCACACGGACCAGGGACCTATACCGCTGGCTCGAGTGGGTCGTCTGCAATCGCCTCCCGTTTGCGTTCGTAGAGCGGCGGCTCACGCGCTTCAACGCCTCCCTCTCTCTCGTGTCGGAGGACACCCTCTCCAAGTACATCGTGCTGATTTTCGAGCTGCTAGAGCTGCGCGTCGTTCGCGAGCTCCCTGCATCGTTCGGTCTCGTTCTAGATGGGTGGACCAGTGGTGGTCGTCACTACATCGCGATATTCGCGGTATTCAGCAGCGACAGTACCGGTATTACCGGTGGCGGCGCTGACAACGAGTACTATGACGATCTGGAGTGCTCATCGCGCCGCTTCCTGCTGTTAACATTCGCTCCAGTAGAGGTCGAGGAAGACATGGATGCGCAGAGTCAGTACGACCTGATCGCCGACACGCTGTCTCGCTATAACAAGCCCTGGAGCGCGGTGAAGTTCATGGTGGGAGACAACTGCTCTGTGAACCAATGCATCGGCCGGAAGGAAGGGGTTATCCCCTTCATTGGATGTGCTAGTCACAGATTCAATTTGGCGGTGAAGGACTTCCTCAAGACCGAGGACGAGCTTATTGCGAAGGTGCACGCGCTGATGACCAAGCTCCGGACGATCAAGGGCCGCGCTCTGCTTATCCGCGTCTCCCATCTGTCGCCTCTGTTGAGGAACGACACCAGGTGGTCGAGCACGTACGAGATGGTGGCGCGCTATGTGAAGCTTCAGCCCGCCATAATCAAGCTGTGCCATGACCTTCTGGTCAAGTACGAAGTACAGCCGCTTTTGCTGCGGCGCGCCGAGCACGAGCGAGTCAAGGCGTTGGAGAAGGACCTGGAGAAGTTCGAGGGAGTCACTAAAGAGCTACAGAGGTCTACGCTAACTTTGTCTGCTGTGCGCCGTCTTTTTGACCAGGTCGTGAAGGAGTACCCTGCACTCAAGTCACGACTGGCCGCAACGGCTCCGATTGTCAACAACCAGCATTTAGAACTGGGCCTCGTCAAGCTTCAGCGCGAAGAGGTGTTGACGGCCGCGGAACGGTCGGCGTGTGCCGAGTTTAGATCGACGGCCCTTGAAAGGGCACCAGCGCGGGAGGACGGCAACAGCTCTATCGTTAAGGCGGCGTTCAAGAAGAGGAAGGCACCGAGGCGCTCGCAATACGTGGACGTCACATACGTGCCGCCGACGTCTAACGAATGCGAGCGCTTTTTTTTCGGCGGCGAAGCTGGTGCTCACAGACGTGCGGAAGAGTCTCTCCCCCATCATGCTCGAGATGCTGATGTGTCTGCAGTTCAACCGCGACTTGTGGGACGTCAACACGGTGGAGCAGGTTCGTGCACGAATTGGCAGCAATTAATGGCAATAATGCAATGATTAATTTTTGCCCGCAGTTTAGAAGTATTAATCTGAGTGTTGCATTCTCGGGTGCCCTGCTGTGGGTTGTTTTCGTGGTGATGGCAGAAATAGCTACGAAGCTGAATAGCAGCCCAGGAAGAGGGGCGTTGCAGCGAGCGGACAAGAACGACGGTCTTGCCCGCTATTCTCAAGTGCGATTGGGTGAAGTTCGTTGCTTCTTTATCATGAAACTGCTGCCTAAATTCGGCCATCGGACTACAACTTGCACTCCATGTAGCCATGTATAGCAGATACCTATTCCCAACCCAGTAGTGGCGAACTGATCTATCCGTTGTGAGTGAAAGCGTTAAGACATGCACTTATCTTTCTTGACTCCGTGACCCCAATGCGTCAGTAGGAGACACCGAGCTACAACCTCTTGTGAGCACTCTTGGAGTTCTCACTTCTGCATTCCCTTCACCCACGCCACCCGCTCTTCCCCTCTCAAGTACGCCACCAACCATGGCCGACGTCCCTGCAATGCCCAAGGTGGACATCCCCGTTGCGATCCCAGTCGACCTCGAGGCCGGTGCGGTTCCTCCCCAGCCAACGTCTCCCCAGAACAACTTCAACGGCGGTCAGCAAGGCAATGTGGGCCGGCAGCGAGCAAGCGGTGCAGACCCAGCAAGTCAACGTGACCATAGCGTCTCCTATTCAGCAGGCGCCTTCAGTCTACGAGCCGCCGATGCCCGGTAGCTGGGTCGTCGGACTCTGCGGCTACTGCCAGGACATGATACCCAACTGCTGCATGGCGTGGTTCTGCCCGTGCATCTCGACGGCGCAGATCGTCAAGCGTCTGGGCGTGAGCTCCTACTGCTGCGGCCTCTGCTTGAGCATCCTGTTCCTGTGGATAGGGCTGTTCCCGTGCTGGGTCTGCCACCTACGCGGCGCCACACGAGAGCGCTTCCGCAACCGGGCAACTGCTGCGGCGACTGCTGCGAGGCGTGCTGGTGCACCAGCTGCGCTATCGCTCAGATGGCCACGCGCGCGGGCAGCTACAAGCCCGGAAGCTGCAGCTTTGGCTCGCTCGACTCCCTGCACCCCTACAAGCCCATGTAGAGCAGTATGATACCGCCGACAACCAACCAATATCAAGATAGAACCTACTATAAGCATCGAACCTAATATCATCGCATGATGAAATGGTGAAATGGTGCCCCGTCAGAAGAACAGAGGAGGAGAAGCGATACTGGCGAAAGGCTCATCGGCAGAGAGTTTGTGGTGACTAGCTCCTGTATAGAGCTATCGGGCCGGACGAGAACCTTCGAGCAGCGTTCTGAAGCGGAGTTTCACCAGTGTGCACTACCTGGTTGACGTTGAAGTACTAGGTAATGTGGCGCGCATTTGGTATTATCTGGTGTTTTGTATTTTATCCTTCACTTGCGTATCTCTATGACAATGAATCGATCTCTACTAGCGTGACAGCTCTCATGAACCTACTGGCCGGTGCCGACTGGTGCGCGGCATTCCGGACAGCTCGGGTTGTGCCGCAGCCACGACATGATGCAGTTCTCGTGGTACACGTGGGCGCAGGGCAGTCTCACCGAGAAGTTGCCAGAGCTGGCATCGGGCGCTTCAGCCTCCTCACCGTCGCTGCTATTGCCACTCTCGTTACTGCCGCTGCTGGATGTGCTTTCAGGTATCTCAAGCCCCTTCATCTCACCCGAGACCAGCGGCTCGAGGCAAATGCTGCACGAGTGCTCGGAGTGCGTGGGCAGCAAATCTTCGACGTCTTCGAGGCTCAGGATGGCGTTCGCGTACGTGCAATTCGCGTCCAGCACGCTCTCAGGGAGTGACAAGAAGTCCCGCATCAGTAAGTAGATGTACAACACTTCACGCCCCAATGGAGCGGGTAGGTACGGCTCCACTACCAGCGCCGGAACAATCACCTCCAATGCCCTCCAACATTCAGAGAGGAACCCCTCGAGTTCCACCTTCCCAATGTTCATGGTGGCAGCGTCTGCGTGGATGGAGAACGCCGCGTACTGCAGGTGTTCGTATCGGTGGAAGACCTCGGCCAGGATCCGTAGGAACACCTCAAAGGGTTTCCATTCCACGACGATTTCTTGGCCCTCGTCGTGTTGCTGCTGCTGGATATTCGTCGGCGCGAGGTGTTGTGCTACCGTTGGATGGTGCAGGATGGCAGCGACTTGGGCGTAGAAGCCACGAAACTTGGTCTGGCTCATGGCAATGACCCACGCGGATTGTGTCGTGTGGCCGCCGTTCGAGGAGGACGAAGACGTCGTCGTCGCGCCGGTCGCCGCCATGCATGTGCTGGTGATAGTCAGCGAGAGCGACACCCGGTAGACCACGGCCAGCCCCACGCAGAGCAGCCGCGCCTGCACGAGGAAGCTGAAGCTGGACGGCTGGAACTCCTCGCTCATCTTGCGCAGTCGCCGCTGCATGGGCGCGTTGATGGCGTTGATGGCGGCGGTGTGCACGAGTTTCACGCGTTTGGTCTCGCGTTCCCCTTCCATCCTCTGCTTTGGCATTATTGGACTGACGCCCGAGCGCGCGGAATGCAAAATGACGACGAAAAGCGGGCGACTTGAGCTTAGCGCGGCGTCGAGCAGCAAACTGAACCGAACGCCGGACTTACGCCACCCCCCTCACGGCGACTTGTGCCGTCCATGGAAGAGTGCTTACTACAACGATACGGGCTCTGCGAGCCCACGCTGTAGACGATGGAGTAGGATAGTCGACTCTTCTGTCTCCGACTACAACAAGATACGCACTGGGTGCGGGGCACAAGTTGATCAGCTCCGGGCTCGAAACGCTGAGAATGTTTGGAGGTACGTCGCATCATTTGAGTTGAGGGTGGCGCTGGGTAGTGGAAGACGCAAGCGCGACAGCCCTCGCTACTGGGTGGTGCAGACTTATAGGCCTGTGCGCTCTATAAGGCAAATTTATCGTGCTTGCCAACGACAGGCAAGTAGAACGGGGACCACCAACACGCTCGACGTTGCTCCATGCGGCAATGCTCAATAGTTCTACAGCAATGGATGTCGCAACGCGTCCGACCCCACGCCGAACTACTAGAACGGCTCCTTCGCCCTACCATGAAGCTTTACTATTTTTGCGTTCACACCCAAGCACCAACGCGTAAACAATCGCTGTTGTCCGTTGTCGCTTGTGGCGTGGCGAGTCCGTCTGATAACTCGATAGGCACGCGGCGTGCGTAATGGGCCACGTAGCGTTCAGCCCGGATTGTTTCTCGAACTTTGTTTCGGTAGGCCTTCTTCCTCTCGATGCTGACAGCCCACGTGCTCGTGGAGTGGCCCCGCGACCACCAAACGGGTATGGCTCAGGTGCAGAGGTCGCCGTTTCAACATGCTGAGGGTTTGTGCGACGCGCGCAATAATACGCGTCTGCGTTGCGAATGGATCGGGGCTCAAGTGACCGACAAGTTCGGAGACTACTCTCCGCCCAGAGTGCATTTGGCTCAAGATGCTGCGCGTGCAGAGAGATACGGCGATGACTTGGCTCCATACGGCCGTGTCACGCGCTAATGGTAGTAATGGCTGTAGGCAAGGCCGATTTCAGATATGTTTTCTGGACTTGTGAGCTTTGACAAAAAATTACTAGGGTGACTGAGCTCAATTATTGTATTCCGTCCACAACTAGCAAATTTTACCTGTCCAGCGTACTACTCGCTGCGCATAACGTCGGCTTGGATATATTGCATGGATGCGGATATATTTCGGTTGGATACTTAAGCGTTGCCTTCCACTGAAAGTCTCTTGTACGGATTATCGTGAACGCCACAGTAAATTATGCTACACACGAGAGGTAAACAATGCATGTAAGGAAAACAAGCTGAATTGACGTCGATACACTATTGCGGAGGTACTAGAAGTATTAAAGCCTTGGATACAGCCTCTTTAGGTTCTGAAGTTCTGGATCCCTGCACGGCTTTACTAACATCATGGCCTTTATTCTTGACGGAGCAGAAGGTGGGACGCATCGCAAAACTTGTCCAGGCGGCGACCCAAAGCGTAGCAACGCATGGTTATCTCAGCTAACGAGATCAAATTATCTTTCGCCCCCTGGAGCATTGACGTAGCTGCAGTTGCTTCAGCAACCAGCAACGAGAACGCATCGTGACACTCAACCCCAGGTTTATCGTTGATTTCCTCACTTAATTCCTCGAGACGATCCCACAATGCATATTTCCAGAGGTAAATTGCGAAATAAATCAGCTTGTTGGAACTTGCCCGACCGGAGTCTGGTAGCCAGGTGTGCCAGCCCATCAGTTTACAAAAGCGGCGCCATTGCTTCCAGTTTGCGTTGTATTTCATGTTTGACGATCTTGCCAGGGCGTGGCTGCACAGAATCGCTCCCACACGCTTGAGAGATTGTCGAAGGGAGGTACGACGTTCACCTGTGTCCACGCACAAGAAAGACCAGACCACGTTGCCCATAATGGATGAGATTCAGTCCACGCCCGTGATCCCGCATCCACCATTGTGTTAAGCTTGCCAGGAATGTGGATGGCAGTGAAGAATAGGCCATACTTGAGCTCAACCATAGAGATCAGTCGATTGTAGAGCTGCGCCGTAGGGTGGCGGCTGTACCGACGACTCGCCCACGAAACAGCGCCCATATTGTCGATGTGAAACTGGACGTGGGTGGGCTGTGTCGGAGGTGCATTCTGCCAGTGCGGTCCCCACAAGAGTGCGGCGAGCACAGCACTCTGAAGTTCGCGTACGTTGATCGAATTCTGGTACGACCCACTCTGGAGCTCTGCGCATTCTTCGTCACTGTATTGCAGTCGGATATACCCACGCCGGCTGGTGTCCAAAGCACACAGACCTGTGTAGGAAGCATCCATCTCCACGATTATGCACGGGGGCGTAGTTGCAGCAAACTGTGATACTAGAATCCCATTAAACCGGTCTTGGTTGAGCATGACCGCTCTGAACCACCGCAAATCTTCGATGGTATCGGTGTCAAGGGCGCGGGCGCGGGCTCCGTAAGGCAGCATTGCCACGGTTGCCGTGTGGGCCCTCTGGAAAAAGCCCTAGCGGATGGAAAGCACGAGGCCACGTGGTGAAACACACCGAGAAGCTTCTGGAGGTCGGATTTGGAGGCACGTCCGGCATTGAGAACTTGGTCGACTTTGGTGGTAGCCCTCTGTAGTTTTTCCGCTGGGATGGATACGGTGCCGTCGGCGACGTCCCACATTAAGCCAAGCACAACATTCTTGGAGCGCCACGGGGTAAACTTCCGGTCATTGATTGCTGTCGGCCCTAACACAGTGGCCATTGCTTTTCGTAGCGCAACATTGGCATCGTGGAAGATTCGACCCTCATCAATCTCAACACACGTGTGATCATCACACCATACATTCCCACGAAAGGGGGACGCATTGTGGGTCGAGGAGTCCGACGAGTGCGAACCCTCATAAATATCATTGATGGCAGACCCCGCTAGAGAGTAAAAGGCCGGCGACCCACACCAGCCAAAGCCACAGGCCAAATCGATGACTACGTAGTCGTCGATGGCAAAAGCAAACATGTGCACGGCATCCTCGTGGACAGGCACGTGACGAAAGGCACCGGACACGTCTCCGAGCATCAATAACACGTCAGCATCAGGCTGGGCCGTGCGTAAATCGTGGATCCGGCGCGCAATATCGCGGGGAGGGTTGTAGGAGACTGGCGGGATATTGGAGCGATCCGTAAAGTCGTTCACCGATGCCCCATCAGGATATGAGTAGTCGTTAATCATCCGTGTCTCGTTGCCGGCCTTGTCAACCACTCCAACCGGGCTGAGGAATATCTCAGACCACAAGTCGAGCACACTCGCGTTGAGTACGAGATAGCGGCCATCTCGCTGACCCTTGCTGATGTGTTTGAGGACTTCGGCAGAATGAACAATGGCGCTCTTGTGATTGGAGGGCCGAATTACTTGCCGATCCGGCTTCGACATCGTCCAACGTGGACGTACTCCTTCCCTGACAACGCCATTCCACTGGCAAAATAGGTCTGGGTTCGCTGCTGACTTGTTGGACAACTCATACAAGGCTTTGTTGGGCCTACCATCCTCCTTGGTCTGCCCGCGTATCAGACGCACGAACATGGGCAGCGACCGATTTGACCGATACGCCAACATGGTGAGGAACTCGACGGAGTCTGTATCAATCTTGTCGTCCACATGACTGGTAGGAGGGGGTGTCAACCCCAGTGCGGATGCATATTCGGCCAGGTTGGAGAGTCTGTCCCGCTCGGAAATATCAGCGAGGCGTTGTAGTAGATGCAAAGTACTTGATAGATCTCGAACATCTCCAGTCCTTGTACACGAGCGCGGTATTTCACGAACATCAATACTTGATGCAGCTTGATCTGCACAAGCGGGCACAGCACGCAAACACGGGGCACCACGGACATCAATCACTGGAACAGCAGATGATAGTCATTGTTGCGACTGTTCTGTTACTCCTTTGTACTTTTCGGTGATGTAGGCTTTCACGATTTCAGGAAGGAGTTGGGTTGAAAGTGCGCGCGCTTGCTGTCAAAGCAGTTCCCATTACCGTCGCCGGGGCAGCCGACGACCGAGGTTGCCTTCATACACAGGCGCTTGTCACCTTGACGCGGTAGTGCAGATAGCACGGCAGCTGGGATCGATGACGTGCGGGGCTGTCTGTAGACACGGCGGGTGTCATCCTGACCGTGGCGGGCCCGCGGATGGGCATGCTCGAGCTCGCGCTGAGCTCGTCGGAGCTCTTCCAGTTCCAATAGAACCTCGTCCTTTCGAGTAATCTCTTACTTACCGATACTCCGGGCCGCGTCAACGTCGCGCGAGACAATCATACTCCGAAACTTGCTAAACTTGCTCGTGATCCAAAACGCCATAAGCTTCCAGCCGACACTGTCGGAGTCGAACAGGCCTTGGTAAGAGTCGATAAAGCTGATCGCATCGTCAACAAGGTTCACAACCGTCTGAGTGTAAAACTGCTCAGCAAATTTGCGAAGGGACCGCAATGATCTGCTGACATCGGTGCGCGACCTTGCCGTTTGAGGTGGGCGCAGCGTGTTGCGTTCCGAGAAGTCCGTAAAGCTGACAGTCGAATCATGGGCATTTATGCGAGTCATCAGGATGGCAGTGCATCAGTGAGAGTCCATGGACCCCAAATCCAAAGTTGAGAAGGCCACGGCACACGGGTGGCACGGCGAGGAAGGGGGCGTGGACTCGTTGCTGCATACGTTCGAAAATGTAATTACACGACTTACCTCGAAATCGCGGGTGTAAAATTGTCCGGCTTAAGCGCTGCTGGGTCGCTGATGGTCGAAACGCACCCCGACTGGGCTCATTGTCATCGTCTTTTGAGCTAGGCTCGTCGTCCTCGGTACCATAACCAACTCCATAGTCAAGAAGATCGTCGTGTGCCGATGCACCATCCCGTTCCGGGGCTCTTGATCGCTTACCAAGCATACGATTCTGATTGCGCAACGCCTGGATATCATCATCCGTTGCCTTGCTTGTGATACTCAGTAGGTCATCAGGCATGTGAGATGACATGGGTCGCTGTGGTGCAGCTCCGGGGCCTGATCGATCGGCACGTGGCAGTTGCGGGTCGTTGTAAATGGCTAGAGCGTTCTTTTGCGCTGACCCATGAGGCAATCGAGAACGTGCTGCCGTCGTACTTGCACCGTTGCCAGATCGTGGGGGCGGATGAGAGGCACGATTTCCTCGGGTATGAAGGGATCTGTCAGCATGGACTGCACCGACGCTGGTAGCTCTCCTCGACGCCTGCGGCAGGCCATAATCACTGTATTCTGTTGCACGAGAAGCTCCATGGAGTTGAGAACCATGTCTGTCACTGTCGCCCCAACTTGAAGGGCGTACGTTATCGGGTCGGCCTTGATGATGCGAAGGGGTTCACACAGTCGTACCGTAGTAACTTCCTGCCCGACTAGCACGCTGAGCGATGGGCCGGCCGCCAACATCTCGTAGCGGATCACGACTCCATATGCCCACTCGCCTGTTGAAGGACCGCTGGGTTGAACGAACGCGACGGGTTGTCCCACGTAATCTCCGGGCCAGAGTTCAACCTCGGCGGCATCGACGACGCGGAGGTCTATCGCAGCGACTGGAAGCTGGAGTTCGTGGCCATCCTCCCCGGCATCAGGGCCCACAACGCGCACCGTCGCGCTATCTCCTTCAACGTGGAGCACCCGAACGTAGCAGAACTTGGTGAGCGTAGGAGCGTGAGCGGGGCCAATGAAGGCGAGTGAATTGGCGGAAACGGCATACGGGGACATGGTTGCTGGCGTAGATGCAATGGCTGGAGACTAAAGGCGCGGGCTGCTCGAAGAGAAGTCGACTGAAGAGACACGTCGGAAACCGCTAAGAAGCTATTTCAGCACCTCAAGGAAGAATTCAAAGTGAGATCTAGACTGCGGCATTCGCTGGCTCCCCACTAATAGCTACATCAGCCTTAGGTTCTTACCGCCTATCGGAAAACTAGTCATCCTCACGGACTGACCCTCAAAGGATTGTGTTTGGGCTGCGAGGGGCTCGAACGCTCTGCGATGGTTAACCGTTCCAGCTCGTCGACAACAGCAGACAAGTTTACACGATGAGCCTCATCCTTACAACACATTCGCCACACCAACTTGTGTGCGTCTCTAGATGGACAGTCCGGTTCGTTAAAGCTAAACGCATCGGTCTCTGGGGACCACCGCGCTTTATGTTTTTTTACAACGCTTTCACTTTCGCAGCTCCACGGCTTTTCCCTTGTCGTGGCTTCCAGAATGCACATACCCAAAGAGAAATGTCCGACGCGATTGAAGCCGGTTCACCTGCCAAAATCTCAGGAGCCAGCCAACGTATCGATCCCATTACGCCCGTCGAGCCACGATCGGATCTCTCCATCGATCCGCACAAGCTGAAATTGGACAGCTTCGCCAAACCATCACTGCCAATCAAAATGTTACTGCACCGAAGATCGCCGTGAACTTTTACCCGCTCGTGCAGATACCTGAGACCTAATGCTGCCTCATATAGGAACTTCCACACTGTGGGCTTCTCCATCGGAGATAATTCTACATGCTCGATCAGGGAACCATGGGTGATGTATTCACAAACAAAGAGCTGCAAGTTCGGTGGAGCATAGCATGCGCCGTACATCTTCATCACATTGGGGTGCCGTAGCTGTTTCCATTGCGCTACTTCCTCCTCCAACGTTGTCGCGGATGCTTCTGGAACAAACAGTTTAACGACAGCGTCGGCGTCCAACCACTTGGCACGGAATTCACCTCCAATGTTACCTCCGTTACAGAAGCGGACAAATTCAATTTCAGACGGAGAAATTGAAAGATTCGTTGACAGTAGGCCACCGCTAGAATTTTCTTGGGGGTGATAAAAAAGAAATGGAGTAAGCATACTCCGAACTTCTTGATGGCCACGATCACGAGCTAGACGAATTGCGGTTTCTTCGCGTTGGTTTCTGGCCTTGATGTCAATGCCTCGTTGTTCAAAGAGATACCGGACGGCCTCGACTTGTCCTTGCATAGAGGCTTTCATTAATGCAGTGTCACCGTTTTTGTTTTTAGCGTTCACGTCCACTCCGTCTCCAGTGTCTCCGTTGTCCCTTTCCACGTTTCTATCAGTACCACTTCGCTTCATGAAATAGCGAAGTATGTCCACATGGCCTCCATCTGCTGCCATAATCAATAGTGTGTCTCCGGCTTTTGTTGTGGTAGTAAAGTCCGCCCCGTACTCAGCTAAGCACCGAATAACCTCAATGTGTCGTCTCAGCGTAGCCATCATTAAAGCGGTTTCTCCGTCCCAGTTTGCGGCGTTTACGCTGGAGCTTGGTTGACGAGCTAGTTCCTGCACAATACCAAGGTGCCCATTTGCCGCAGCAATCACGAGCATATTGACGCCGTATTCATTTTTGGCGTGTACGTCCACACCCGGCTGCCCAGCGGCATATTGGAATATGTTCAAGTAGCCTCTCTTAGCAGCTATCGTCAAAGCTGTGTCCCCAAAGTTACTTAACGCGGTTATATCAGCGCCATGCTCAGCGACATACCGAACCACTTCGACTTGACCACTTTCTCCGGCCATCATCACCGTTGTGTAGCCATCACTAGTTTGTGCATTTACATCTGCGCCGCCATTTTCAGTGAGATCCCGAACCTTTTTAATCTGACCGCTGGTAGCCGCCCACATCAGGTCCAAATCTCGATTTTCACTGGTAGCATCCAAAATTTCTAAGCGGTGGCTAAACGCATAATAGACACCTTTTGCCCACGTAATTTACGCGTTTTCGAGCACATGTTTCCGCACCAAAACGCGTCAAAATCGTCACGTTCAAATGATGATTGACTGACTGTTTACTGTGATATACCTCTTATATCCGTTTTTAAATATTCATATACCAAATATATTGTCTTACAGGTTTTTGCGATCGTATCGCATGCGCGCTCTCAGCTTTCCGCACTCAGCTTGTGCGCATTCTGCGCTCGGATGAGTTCTGCAGACGACGCCGATGCCGTCGCAACAGACGCACGCATAGAGCTACAGCCAAGGCACACATCCACAATAGGAGCGACCACCTAGCAGCTTTAGCGCACCATGGGGAGTGTCGACTTGGTCGCTAAGAAGCAGCACGGTGTTATCGAAGGTAAACACAGCGAGATGAGAAGACACTTGAGCAGTAGGGTTCCAGTTTCAAAGTAATTCATTATAATATACGCACTGCACGAGGAGGAAAGTCCCAGACAGAAAACCCCCTTTGACCCGTTGACTACATCCATCAGATGAGCAACGGTTCGATCTCAACCTGTCCACGAGACAGATCGAGCTTTGCAATGAATTTGAGTTCAACTTTCTTGGATGTTCCTCCGGAAATCCTCATACTCCCCCTGAACTCAAGTTCCTTTGCACAACACAATCGCCATCTTCACTAAGACGATCTTTCATCGTATAGGCGACGATCTTTCGTCACACAGTCGCGATCAAAGCCTCGAGTTCATCATTTTCGAAAATGTTCCTTTCAACTTGGAAGGGTCCGTTCACTCCCCCTGAACTCGAGCTGTGTGTCGCGCTGGCATCGCTACCGTTGTGATTGTTTACCAACGTATCAGTGCGGGAGTTCGAGCTGACCCACAGGCAAGATGTTACCACTAGGGCTCCCTATCTTCCGCTTCGTGTTCCGCCGCTCTATATTTGTGAATTTTGCATCACTTCCGACTCACCATTTAGGTGTCCGGTCCCCCTAAGCCTGCGAGTCATACTCGACCGCTACCTCCTCATAGCTTTAGCTAACCCTCGGCCGACTCACATGTCACCGCGTGCGCTGCACCAAGCGCACCTTTCCCACGAGAACTCACGGCACAAATCGCACAAGATCTCAGAGTGCGCTTGCAGGACGACAGACACCGCTTGCACTGCGGTCCAAAGCAGCACTTTTCGAATCCGGCACGAACGTAACAAGTGCTGGTTCGGATGCCCGAACTACGCAATGCATCTCATCAATATTCTCCATCTTTCTCGGAGCAGACTAGCCACTTCCAGAAAAGACTTGAGGCGACAACACATAGCTCACTTTCGTATCGCGTTGCCGTCATAGGGTGTCCTTCCCACAGCCTCCAGTGGTCGTTCGTGTGCACACCGTCTTGCCTGCTACCGCAGGTGTTGCCAAGCGTCATTCATCCACCGCCTCGTGGCCCAGGATCATTCACGTCTACCCAACGCTAAGCCGTCTCAGCATTGCCAGGTAGCGCCACCGGCTTAGGTCCGCTCATGTTGTCTCACATGACCCCACCAGATCGACGACCGCATGACACCCGCAGCGTTGCGGCACCATGACAACTTCGTTGCCTGAAGTTTCGCCAACAGCACCAACATAGTCACCCATTCTCCTGTCGATCACGCCAGCGGCCAGGTGCAGCGGGGTGCTTCTCAAAGTAACAACGCACGGCACCAGGTGTTCGCAGTACTCGAACCTGTTCTCCTACCAGTACTCGCTAAAGTACCCACACTGCTTCGACGGCAATCATTGCTCACATCTCGCTCTTGGCGCTCATTACATTGCGAGTCATCATGATTTCCTTCCTGGGGGCTCACAGATATCAACGTCAATACCAGCAGCAACAAACACTTCCACTCGCACTGGATAAGGCATAACCCGTCCGCATCATCTGTCAACATCCTCATCGAGACGAACATGTTCCGTCGTATTCATTGTACCCAGTCTTTCTCACGCAACTGCATCCGTAGTATCCATCCACGCTCGTCAGCAATGCACGAACACATCACGACCGCCATGAGCACCCGTAGCAGCGTCATTATAGCTCGCTATTGGCACTCATTCGTTGATACTCTCCTGATTTACAATGCTGCCAGTTATGTCCTTGGTGTTCTGGCATCCGCGCCTCTGACGCCCGTAAACTTGTTCGGCGATCCGTTCATAACTTCGTTGGGGCTCGTCCGCACACAAGCGCCACCTGGTGTCGCCACATACCTTCGCCAAACTTCGCTCTGAGCACCACAATCGTCGCATTCGTCCCGACGCCGCTGCAAACCACTGCGAACGATTTTCACCGATAACCGTTCCGCTACCATTACAGCCACGCCGTCCTCAGCTCTGGCGTCATTGCTCTCTTCCACAGCACCGTCACCACTTCGCACAAGCGCGTCAACTTTGATTTCGAGTCGCCCAAACTACCGGTAAGCCGCGTCCTTGTTGCCGCTCTAGCAATCTTACAACATTCCACCTCCACGAAAATGTTGTCCATCCAGTGATGGCTACACCACATAAGTGCACGAATCTTCGTCCGAAATCACCCCGACAGAACCCCCATAATGATTCAGCCGACAGCCAATTGCGTGAAGATATTCCATCCTTTCAACAGCTCACCACGACCATTGTAGTCAACCGTCTTCGAGTTCCTTACCACAAGTAGAAACTTCACTCTCGTCACGTACACCCATTGTGCACAGCATCACTTCACGTTACTCAATGCATGGTCTCACTTTGACGCCGCTGAGACCCCAAATCACCCGCTCAATGTCACCCTACAACAACCATCTAGTGGGGTCCCAGCCCCGGGCGGACCGTGACTAGGACTTCAATATCACTCGGTTGCAACTGGTCCTCAACGCTTACTTCTGTTGACTGCAAGTTGGAGTTGTGCCAGGCGGGACAATGGTGGCTCGCTCGACGCCCGACGCTACGCTTACCACGGCAACGTCCGTCCTCCAGAACCGATTAATCCGTTCCTTACTCTCGACTTCACTTCGTCGAGCGATAACCGAACCCCACACCCTCTACAACCAGCAGCGCCCTGCTACGAATCTCAGCAGCAGCAAGATCTACGTCGCTACCATCGCTCTTTTGATCGGAGTGCATGCTATCGACGAGCAACTTGTCCCGGCAGCAGCAGCTCCAAAATCGACCCGCGTTCACTGCTGCTGACATGATTATAACAAGCGGGATGACATGCAGCGTGGTCAGCTGTCCGTTCTCCTCTGCCAGCTCCATCAGGTCTCCGCGCAGCACCTCCGACTGCTGGCACATCACTAAGTAATCCACCACTTGATCCAATCTTGACGAGAACACCATACACGAGGCTTCGTCTCTCAGTCACCGCTATGCCCCACAACCTTGACTGCCCGGTTTAACGCCACACACACACCAGATGCCAATACACAGTCACTTTGGGCTCATAACCTAGCAGCTTTAGCGCGCCATGGGGAGTGTCGACTTGGTCGCTAAGAAGCAGCACGGTGTTATCGAAGGTAAACACAGCGAGATGAGAAGACACTTGAGCAGTAGGGTTCCAGTTTCAAAGTAATTCATTATAATATACGCACTGCACGAGGAGGAAAGTCCCAGACAGAAAACCCCCTTTGACCCGTTGACTACATCCATCAGATGAGCAACGGTTCGATCTCAACCTGTCCACGAGACAGATCGGCTTTGCAATGAACTTAAGTTCAACTTTCTTGGATGTTCCTCCGGAAATCCTCATACCACCAGCCGTGGGACCCCAGAAGCAGCAAGTCCACACCGCTAGATGCAGGAACCTCATTGGGCACTTACGGTGATGGCCGTCGCAAGCAGCTGGGGCCATCACGAGCACTCCGTGCGGTTGGGCGGTCAAGGCCCTAATTATGACTATGACCGAGGCATGGGCAACACCTTCACCGCCGGCGGTGATGTTTCCGCTGTCGCTGGAGCTGGCTACGATTCCAGGGGTAATCTTCGCAACGGATTTGTTGCTTTGCTCTTAAGTGGTGATAGTGGTGGCGGTCATGGAGTCCGTGGTGACGTACGTGATGTGCAGGGCTATACCAGTGGCGACGTCGAGCAAAGCTGGCGCCAGCTCAGTAAGGATGCTCGGAACCTCGACGATGCCGAGCATGAAATGCTTGTCGACCAAGGTTACGGCGAGCGTGATGACGAACATGATGAAGCCGAACAAGGTGACGAAGGACACGCTGACGATCACTCAACGACAGATGGTTTTTTTCACTAGAGCTGGAGGAACAGATAGTTGAAGCAGCAGAGAAAATATTGCGCCAGACGCCGAGGAACAGCATCGATACTTGGGTGCTGTATAGAAGGCTTCTCCGTTATCGACACCTAAAAATGCTTTCGCGTGCTGTAGCGTGTGCGCTAGCAATGCAGATGCGAGATCACGAAAAGAAGACACTTCGGGAGCAAGTTCCAGACATCCGATTTAATATCAATCGTTTGTCGGAGAAGGACTGTATCAACCGCTTTCGGTTCCGCAAGGTGCATTTAGCCTATTTGCTGAACCATTTTTCTCGACTGAAGAAGGATATCGAGTATCTGGCATCGAGGCACTGTGTATCACGCTAGAGCGGATGGGGTATCCGGCCCGCTGGAGGGAGCAAGTGAACAAGTTAGGGCGATCGGAGAGTAATCTCAGTTCCATTTTCTACTATGTATGTGAGCGAATAACTTCGCGCTGCGCCCCGCTACTGAAAGGAGATTGGGATCGGGTTAGTGCGCGACTGGAAGGCTTCGCATCAGCTATCTACGCAAAAGGATCGGCGCTGAAGAATCTGTGGGGTTTTATAGACGGAACGGTGAGGAAAATATGCCGTCCAGGAGATAGCATCGAGCAGCGAGCGATGTACAACGGTCACAAGCGTTCTCATGCAGTGAAATTTCAGGCCGTGACGACACCCGATGGAATTATCGCGCACATGTTTGGTCCTGCTCAAGGACGTGCGCACGACCTTACGTTGCTGGAGGATTCAGACCTGGAGAATATAATCGGCCGTGATCAGCGATTTCACGGCTACCTGCTCTACGGCGACCCTGCGTACGGCCAGGCGGACGTATTTGCATCTCCTTTTGACAAGGTGGGAGCAACAAGAGAAGAGATTGAAGTCAACAGGTCGCTTAGCAAAGTGAGGATTTCGGTCGAGTGGATGTTCGGCAAAATAATTGGTGAATGGGCTATGCTGGACTTCAAGCGCAAAATGAGCATTGGGAACGTTCCCGTTGGTACGCTTTACGAGGTCGCCGCCATTTTCGCTAACTGCGTGACGATCGCACGGCACCAGAATATCATTAACAGCTACTTTGATGTTCGCCCGCCTTCATTTGAGAAGTATTTTGCTGGACTGACAAGAATTAGTTGGAAACCAAAGCAATAGTTTATTGATGCCTCTCGTACGGTGGCTTACTCGTTAGCAAAAAAATAACTTAGCTCGTCGCTGAAACTAAAAAGAATGAGAGATGGTATCGATGTGATCACGCTAAGCAGCGCTACTGCGGTTGGCGCTTCCGCCGCCGAAATGCTGGAGAAGCAAGTGCGTCGTGTTACCCAGCGTCTCAACGGCTTTCGCCAGCGCGTTATCTCGAGCAGCTTGGGCCGCTCGATCTTTGACCATCATCGCTTCTTCCCGCGCCCATATTTCGCGAAGGCGCGTCCTGCCGACCTTGTGGCCGGATTCATTCTCCTCCTCGTCGTTGTCTTCTTCCGTCTGGTCGCTCTCTTCGTTATCTCCTTGCTTTGTTTCTTCATCGCTGCTGTATTCACTCCCCAGCATACGTCGCAAGCCTGTGCGTTCATCGCTGGCAGCACTCTCAGCTTCGCTTGCGTCGTGTTGGACAGCATGCTCGTCGTGATACTTTTTGTCTGGAACCCCCAATGTTGCTGAGAGGGAAGTAATCCGCCACTGAAACGCATGCATACTATTGGTAGTGGCGCGAGTTAAAGACAATCGCAAAACCCGTGTACGGGTCTTGCCCAGGCGAGATCGTCGCGGTTTGATAGAACTCAGTAACAAGTGCATGGAACCGATCGAACAGTATCGGGTGGTGACTTGACTCTTGTAGGCGCACCTGCACGCTCATTAACTCGCTGAATACTCGGCAATACTGGACATCGTAACAGTTTTCCATGTACTGTTCAAGTTTCAGCCACGCTTCTTTCAGTCAGTCGTCCATGCTCACCAATAGAGGTCATAGACTCTGTGTCTTGGTCCAGTTGGGTGGCGGCTCCATTAGCGGCCAAGCGCTCCAGTTCATAGACAACAAAAGACAGACGGGTGAGTTCACGAGGGTTATGACAGCACATGCGGCCTACCAAATCACTTATTCCAGACGAGGAGAGTACCGGACCATCCATCTCAGAGGTCCAAGTCTCGTCATGTTCTTCCCCAGCCATTGCCTCCAAAATGCACATTCCCAACGAAAATACATCCGACTCGAACAAAGGTGGTTCCCCCTTCAAAATCTCAGGTGCCATCCAGCGCATGATCCCGTTAAAACAACGCTGAGACGGCTTTCCCGTCCTCCGACTTAACCCAAAAGTGGACAACTTTGCCACGCCATCAGTATATTTCTGCAACGAAGGTCTCTATGGACGATTCCCCGTTCATGGAGATATTCGAGAGCCAACGCTGCCTCGAGCAGGTACTTCCAGATTGTCGGGTTTTCCATGGGAAATGGCGTACCGGTAACATACTCCCAAAGCGAGCCTCCACTGGCATACTCACATACCAAGAGCTGTAGCTGAGGATCAGCCTGGTACCAGCCGTACAGCTTGAGAACATTAGGATGCCGCAGTCGCTGCCATTGCCGCACTTCATCGCTGAATGTGGAATAAGACGCTTGCGAGGTGAAGATCTTCACTGCAGCGTCAACACCGAGCCACTTTATTCGGCTGTATTCACACCCCATATGGCCGTCCGTACTGATATCGATTCGTTCGATCTCACTCAGAGGAATGGAAGACATTGCTGGCGAGGACTGATTACCAATGTTTAGATGATTCAATATGTCGCTGGCATCGAACGGAGAAGCAAAGGGGCGAATACTTAGAAGAAACGGCGTGAGATACTGCACGATATCAGCGTATCCATTGTCAGATGCCACTTGGACTGCTGTTTCGCGAAGCTTGTTTCTGGCATCGACAATCGCTCGGCGGTCTTTCACGAGATATAGCACGATTTCCAGGTGGCCAATTCCAGACGCTATCATGAGTGCAGTATGCCCGAGTTCCGCAGACGCATTCACATCGGCGCCAGCTTCCGAGAGAAATTGGACAACATCAGCATGTCCAACTTTGCACGCCTTCATTAGGGGCGTGAATCCGAACTTGTCCTTCGCATCCAATTGAACACTGCGTAGTCCAGCAAGATAGCGAACAACTTCCGTCTGTCCGCTTCTTGCAGCCCACATCAGAGCCGTATACCCGTTCGCGTTCGACACGTTCGCGTCGGACTTGCACTTTTTGGTAAGAAACCGAACTATCTCTGTGTGGCCCCCTTCAGCAGCCCTCATCAGCGCCGTGTCTCCACAGTAGTCCGTGGAATCCACCGCGGCTCCGTTGGTCACTAGATACCGCACCACCGACATACGCCCCTCCCTCGCCGCCCATCGTAGAGCGTTGTCCTTATCCACGCTGGTGCCTTGTTCTACCAGAGCCTTCACCCTCTCCAGTTCACCCGCCCTCGCAGCTTCCAAGAGCTCGTTCTCCTCCATCTGGGTGATGCGGGGAGATCTTAAATGAGGCGCCTGTCTGGACTGATTCATGCCCGAGGACTGGCCCTCATTGCGGGTACTTCTCTGTCCCACCAGAAAATGCAGTAAATTTTTAAGCATCGATATCTAGTAGATGGAGGAAAACGGCATTGCATAGATCGCAACGATTGCTTCGTCCACTAATTTTTTCAGATCGCCAGGACCAATGTTGGCGGGGATACGATGAGATCAGTGCCGCCCTGCCAGTGGTGATCACGTTTTCCTCCGTAGTTCATCGAGTATTCATTATTGTTGACCTGGGCAGCTGGTAGCCCAGTACTGTAAAGGTCGGTTGGATGCATTCCCCGCCTAAATCGATTGATGGCACACCACTTACACAAAATAGATTAGATTAAAAAATTCATTTTGGAGGGGGATTGCGGTCGCAATTTTTCGCGCCAAAATCTTCTTGTGGTAAGCACTGGGGAATGCTACTTCCCCTCCTTCGCCATACAAAAGTTGTGACCGGCACCTAGGTATATCTGCACTCTGCTCGGCGATGTTTTCCACCTTTCATTCGTTGCTGCTCGTAGCTAGGCACGCTGCGACGACCATACGCTCCATGGCCCTCGTTAACCCAGGTTCGTTCTCGAGCCCCATAAACTCCTGGCGCATCCTTTCCGTCGTTAGGTCAAGTAGTAGCACTTCGGTGATGTGAGGACACCCAATCGTTGTTGGCACTGTGTACCGTGTAGACGCGCGGTGAAGAAAGCTTTGCTGCACCTCGCTCGAATACTTTGTCGCGCAAATGACAAGGACATTAGTCATGTTCCCGAACTTATCCTCCACCTCACCGAGGTTGCAGAACTTGTACTTCATCTGCTCGGCAATTTCACCTAGGAGTTTGCCCACACCCTCGTGCATCCCCACGTTAACCGAAGCGTTCCTGCCCTTCACCAGGTCAACGTACATCACGCTCCTCTGCATGTCACCCTCTCGCATCTTGCCTCTGCGCTTTCGGGGAAGGGCTGGCTGAATATCTTACTGAATCCATGACATGTTACTATTGTGAAGCACGAAAATAGTATTTCCGTGTATTTTCCTCAATGCGTTTTCACGCTCGATACTATTAACGTTATTGACACATCATGCCTTCGGTCCGGTAGATATGCCTGTCAAAGCTCAGCATGTACTTGGGTGGTAGTCTCCGTCCAAGCTGCGGCAGAATGAAGGCGATAAACCACAGCGCGTCCTGCCTGCCAAGCATCCGAGCCAGTGCATGCCGCACCGACGCAGCACTAACCACTGACAGTTTCAGCCTCTCGCCGTCGCGCTGCATAAACTCGATGGTGCTCTGCTCTGTGAGCACCAGATACACGTGCCAGCCCCAGTATCCGCAGACCACGACGCCCACCACGGTCGTCGCCATGAAGGAGAAGAGCACCTTGAAGCGGTCCAGCACAACGTTGTCCCTGCCTTCAGCCTGAGCGTCCGCGCTGCTGCTCGTGAACGTCTCGACGAAGAGCCTCGCCGACAACATGGCGACGTACAAGCAGCTCACCCAGATGTAGAGCAGCAGCAGCCAGAAGTGCCCTAATACAGCCGAACGGTAATATTATGTGAGCACAGTACAGCCCACATCGAGCTCATAGCTCGTTATGGCGTAATAACGTACGGTAGTTGTGGTACCCGACGCAGTTGTTGAGCCAGGGGCAGTGGTGGTCCATCTCGTAGACGCATCGCCGGCACTCGCGGCAGTGGTGCGCCCTGGGCGGCTTGGGCATCTTGCAGTGCTGGCAGATCCGCTGGTGGTCGCTGCCGCCATCGCAGCCGTCATTGGGCGCCAGCTGCCGGCTCACCACGTAGCCGGGGTCGCTCCAGACGGCCAGCGAGTACTGCAGTAGCAGCTCCGAGGCCAGGAAGACGCTGGCCGCAGCGTGCCACGGGCTGCGCGCAGGCAGAAACTTGCCGAAGTGCACGCAGGCGATGCCCAGGATCAGCCCGTAGCCCAGCGCCACCAGCAGCGGGCCCAGCAGTGACATCGCCGAGTGACGCATGGCACCAGGTGTATGTCGCCAAGTCGCATGTGTATCAGGGACATCTCCACGGGCGCATTGGCCGGATGCGTCCGCTTAAATGTATACGTCCATATACGCACACACTCCTGGATATCAATTGTATCAGGTGAGAGAAGTCAGTTTCTCCAAGCAACATAAGGGTTAGAGCCCACTATTCGGGTGATTTCAGTAGTCGAGAATGCGGTCTTGCAGGCAGTGCTATACGTACTATACGCCATTACTCACCCTCTCAGCGGCCGCGCTTCCCGCCCACCCAAGCCCGGCCCCCCGCTATCAACCAAAGAGCGGCGCGCCAGCCAAGTAAGTCCAGCCAAGTCGAAGGGAAGGGGGGACGAGGCTTACACCCGCGGAGTCTCCTGGTCCCTACGGTCTCTGCGGCGTTCAGCTCAGCCGCCTGCGTGTGTGTGAGAGAGTCGCTCTCTCGGAAAAGCCCCCGAGAAGGAGAACGAGGAGAGAAGGGAGTGAAGCCATCAATCAATCGGCCAGCCAAGAGGAGAGCATAACAAGGTGAGGAGACCAGCTCGTTGATTAAGGAGGGGCCGATGGATGGAGAGAGACGGATGGACGGAGGAGAGAAGGAGAGGAGACCGAGGCACGGGATCACTTCGCAACTGGCAGACCACGGAGCTGCAGTATACAGGGGACAAGTCTCTCCTCCTCCTCCTTCCCCTTTCGTAGGAGACCTCCCCATCCGTCGTGCCTCTGAGCTCTCTGGGTCAGGAGAGCGCCCCTTGGGTCGCGTCTGCTTGCGCGTAGGTGGCTGACGTTTGTGCTTGATGGTGCTATGCTTTTTTTTTCTGCCAGGCGGACGACGTGATTCTCCTCCTTTAGTGCGGAGCCTTTTTCTTCTTCTAGCGACTGAGTGACGTCGACGTTGATGACGATGGAGTTTGCGCCTGCTAGCGTGCCCGCTGCAGGCCCCGGCAAGCTCGCGTACGGCTCGCCGCAGACGGACAAGGACAGCAGCGAGCACGGCAGCGACGGCCAGGCGGCCTCCACCTCCACCTCCTCCTCGTCGCGGCCCGGCTCGGCGCCTCCCAGCCTCAGCTTCGAGTCGTCCAACCTGTTCCGCTTCGGCAGCTCGAGCGACTTCTTCGCGCCCATGAAGTACAGCGAGGATGACCCGGCGGCTTCGGCCAACGGCGACAACAACAGCAGCAGCAACAATAATGCTGGCAACAAGGCGGGGAGCGGCGCTGCAGACGCAGGGAACAACAACGACGTGCTGCCGCCGCGCGCGCTCTCGCCCTCGAATCAGGCGACCCACGCGCGAGGACACGAGCGCGAGGAAGGAGCCGCTGGCGGAGATGACGGACGAGCTGGAGCTGGAGATGTGGTCGGACGCACCATTGACATCAAGATCCGCAAGCCGCGCCAGCCCATGGAGATGCTGCCGTCGCACAACAGTCGCCGCAAGAACAGCATCGAGATGTTCCTCTCGCAGTCGCCGAGCCAGGCGCTGGGCGGGGACTTCCTCAAGCTCAGCCTGGACGACCGCCAGATGAGCCTCCAAGCGAATGAGCGCGCTGCTAATGGCAGCGTGTCGGTTAGTGGAAGTGCCGCGGGCAGTGTCAACTCGTACGCGTCGGGCCAGTTCCAGCTCAACCCGGTGCAGGAGTCTCCGAATGAATACGCGTCGCTGTCTGGCCGCTATCGCCACCAGCAGCAGTCTTCCGCCGTCCAGCAACAACAGCAGCAGCAGGAGCGCTACCGTTCCGGTGGACGTGACACGCAGCAACATCTGCCGACGTCGCTGTCTCTTTCGCGCTCGAACACGGTGCCAGGTACCAGCAGCACAGCGTCTGGTGCATACAATGGAGCGTACACCTTGAGTCCGCGGATGTCGTCCGAAGACTCGTGGTCGGGCAGCCAGGACGGGGACAACAACGCCATGTACCAGGAGCAAATGCACGACTACTACGGCAATAACCAAATGGCGGCCTCGTACGAGCAGCAGTACCGTCAACAGCAGCAGCAGTATCGGTCTCCGCAGACTGCTAACGGGTCGTACGGCTACGGTGGAGGTCAAGGTCGCGCGCAGATGAACTCGGGCCAGTGGAACCCAATGGTTGTGGGACCGCACCCTCCTACCGGCATGTACGACGGTGGAAACAGCATGTACATGAACCCGCGCTCCAGTCCGATGACGCACCAGCACACGGCGCAGATGGGATACGCTTCGCAGCAGCAAGTCTCAATGGGAATGCGTGGTGGAGGCCACTCGAACAGCCGTGGACAGGGACGCGGTATGTATTCGCGCATGACCCCGCCGCTTCCAGAGTCGTCTCCGCCGCACTCGCCTCGCAAGGGCATGGGCATGGGCGGAGGCATGCAAATGGGGATGAAGCAGTGCAAGTTTTACCTGCAGGGCCACTGCCGGATGGGTAGCAAGTGCAAGTTCGTGCACCAGGCCGGTGCTCCGTCCGCGGACCATATGGGCAGTGCTCACAACTCGAGCCGTCAAAATGCTTCCATGATGTACCAGCAAAGCCGGATGATGATGTCACCCCCTCCGTCGCACATGATGCAGCAGCAGCGCCATCAAATGGGCAGCGATGATCTCGGCCACCAGATGAGTGGAGGGTTTGGAGGGCGTCAGCAGTCTCGGATGGGATACCGCTCGGAAAACTCGAGTGTGGGTGGGATGAGCTTGGGCCTGATGAACGGCGGTGGGATGAGTGCGCCTATGATGGGCGGCGCTGCCAATGACCCGTCCAGCTTGAGTGCTGCTCTGAGTGTGGAAGACATCCAGAACCGTGTGTTCGCTATGTCGAAGGACCAGAATGGCTGTCGGCTGCTGCAAGAGCAACTTGACTACGAAGACCGCGCTGATCTGTGTGAAGTGATTTACCAGGAGTCGCTGGAGCACCTTGCTGAGATGATGGTGGACCCGTTCGGTAACTATCTCTTCCAGAAGCTGCTGGAGCGTGTGAACGAGAAGCAACGGCTTGTGATCATCCGCCGTGTGAGCTCGAACCTTGTGGCTGCTGCGCTGAACTTGCACGGTACCCGATCGGTGCAGAAGGTGGTGGAGGTTTGCGCGACATCACCTGACGTTATCGAGGAGGACTATGACGACGACGACGGTGACGAGTATGGCTATGTGAATGATCGTGAGGAGCGCCCTGAGGGTGGCGAGCGTCGCCGAACGACGAGCCTGCCGGATATTATTGTGGAGGCGCTGAAGGATGACGCCGTGCGCCTGTGTATTGACTCGAACGGCAACCACGTTATCCAGCGTGCGCTGCAGTTTATGAAGCCTGAGTACAACCAGTTTGTGTTCGATGCTGTGTGTAAGGAGTGCACGACTGTTGGCACGCACCGCCACGGTTGCTGCGTGCTGCAACGTTGCCTGGACGCGGCCAACAAGGCGCAGAAGGCTGAGGTGATTGAGCAAGTGGAGCGCCAGGCGATGAAGCTGATGCAGGATCCGTACGGCAACTACGTTGTGCAGTATGTGCTGGACTCGTGCACGGCTGAAGAGGCCTTCGGTGTCATTATGAAGCCGTTGGGCCACATCTACGAGCTGTCGGTGCAGAAGTTTAGTTCGAATGTGATTGAGAAGTGTCTGGAGAAGGCCCCCGAGCGCGTGCGTCAAAAGTACATTGCGGAGATCACAAGCTGCCCCAAGATGAACAAGATGCTGCAGGACCAGTTCGCCAACTACGTGGTTCAGCGTGCGCTCTGCGTGTGTGCTGAGGAGCAGTGCCTGCTTCTCGTCAAGGCCATTCGCCCGCACCTGGCCGCTATGAAGAACACGTCTGGTGGTCGTCGCATTACTGCTCGGATTCTCAAGCGCTTCCCGAACATGGACATCAGCATGGACATGGGCATGTCGCCGACTGCCGATAATTTGTTCGATAATGGCGCCAACGGGATGATGATGGGCCACCTGCCGTCTTCTGCCATGGGCGGTGCCATGGGCGGCTACATGCACCAGCAGCACCTGCAGTCGAACCAGATGTACGGAATGCAGGGCGGCGGTCACATGGGCGCTTCTCATCACTTCCAGGGTGGAGGCCGAGGCAACCGCATGCAGCAGATGAACGACGGCAGCATGATGATGCTAAACGATGTGGGCGGCATGGGGATGAACGCCACGAGTCGCGCATAAGAGAGCGAGGGAGAGTCCAGCGGTGGTGGGATGAAAAGTATGAACCAGTGTTAGGGAAGGAGCGTGTGGTGTATGAACGACGAAGCAGCGAGGAAGACCCGGTACAAACGAACGCTGGAGACGCGCAGCAGGTGTGAAGAAGGATGGGTGACCTGCCACCAGCGAGGAGGACGCGTGGGTATGATGATGATGACAGGGCAAGAAGAGGGAAACTAGTGACAAGAAGCAGCAGGAAAAAGGATCCAAAAGTTTTGCGCGTTTGTAGATAAGACAAGATACAAAAAGAGGAGAATGCATGTTTAGGACCTTGTATCAAAGCAAAGCTAATGAAGAGTCCCGCATAGCGGTGATGGCGAGTTGCGCTGCGTGCGTGGCAGAGTGAGTGGGCTTGTGTAGGTGACAAGAGGAACACAACACTATGCTGTACCAGTAAGTTGACTCGTTGAAGCCATAACAATGAACGAAAATGCTTTGGAAAGAAGGATGAGGCGTCTATATGGAATTTGGCATGCACTCTAGAACTTGTAGCGTTGGATGGACTCGAGGTGGCGCACCGACCGTGGGCTCTTGGGGCGGGTGTCGTCGAGACGGCCAGATTTGCACGCATAAATCATCAGCGCGAGGCTCAGCAGCGCCTTAAACGCTGCAAGGCACATGAAGAACGCGATGGTCACCAGAACTCCGCTAGGCGACGTGAATTCGATTGGCACGTCCGCGAGTGCCTTCGACACCATGCGCAACACGACACAAGCCAAAGGCAGCGACATCAGACCCAACCGCTTCGAAACGTGGTGCGTGTGATCCAGAATCGTATCCTCGCTCTTCCACCCCGTCAAGTCCCGACACAGGATCGTGATGAACTTGGAGTACATCGTCGGCGGAAGCTGGTTGAACTTGGTGATGAAGGCGTGCTTGAGCCAGTCGATCAGCATCTCGGCAACCCAAACCATGGCCTGCGTCAGAACAAGCCCCAACGTAAGCACACCAATCGAGCTAGAAAAATGCAATAATGAAATAAGCGTACCGTTCCCCAGGCAACATCCCCAGTCGACGATTGCAGCAGGATGAGACTGATGATCGTGATCAGCTTGAAGCGCTCGACGATATCGCTGCAGCTGATCTGGAAGAGGTTCTGCTCCTCAAATTTCTTGAACACAGAGCTCTTGAGCTCGGCAAAGTTATTCGAAATCAGTAGTGTGAGCAGCGACGTGTTGCTCGAGTTGACTGCCACATTGAGAGTCACGACTTGTGCGAACAGCAGCAGCGAGTGGAGCACCACGTAAACGATCGCGACGGTGAAGTCCAGGAACATGCGCGTGACACGGCGGGGGTGATACTTGGCCGTGTAGTAGAGCGAGTCGAGGATATCCTGTCCCAGCGATGAGAAGAGTCTGTCGAAGATCTCAATCATGGTGAAGAGCACGTAGAGCTTGATCATTGCCTGGCCGCGGATCGCGTGGTAGACTCGAGACATATCCACGTTGAGCAATACACTCGTCCCCACAGCCACAATGACCGCCACCATCAAGTCGTAGAAGTGCGTCCTCCGGAGTACTCTGGTATGGAAACTCGACGTCACGGCGCACCCGCACGCGAACAGAATCCGCAGCGGAAGGTACGTGAACACGTACAGGAAGCTGTCGAGCGCCAGCAGCACGCCAAAGAAGAACAACTGCTCCGTGTTCACGGGCACGACGAAGAAGTTCTGCACGCGCTCCTGGTGCATTCCATCCGTGGGTTTGATGTCATGCACACCGAAGATCTCCTTGTAGAAGAAGTCCGACAGGCGGAACGCATGCGGCGCCGGGGGTTTGTCCGGTAAAGTCCCAGCCCCCGCAGACCTGGGCGAAGATGCCGGAGCCAGCTTGGGCTCTGTGTCTGCTCCTCTGGCTGTCAAAGGGTAGGGAGAGCTCCTGGCCAGCGGCGCCACGGGCGAGAAGCTCGACGGAGACGGCGGCGAATACGTCGCCGAGAAGTCCGTCTGCACGTGGAGATTGGGCTTGGGACGGCCGTTCTGCGTCGCGGCTGGCTTCATAACTGTTGCATCCAGTACTGGGGCTGGTTTGACGTGGCCAGAGGCTAACAGGGGGCTCGTTGCGGCGCTGGGGGGCTCAGGATTCGACTTTTTCCGCTTAACGGAGCTGCTGGGGACGCCCGCGGGCTTGTGCGCTTTACGGCGAACCACGCGCTTCCGGTGGAATAAAGTTGCGGAAACATCGAGATGAGACGGCTTCCTTGATGGTTCCGGTGCGGATAGGGGCGGGGGCGCTCTGGGGAGCTCCATGGACGGCGGCGAAGACGGAGCAGCGCAGGTCGACACCATGTCGTGACCCAATGGAGAAATTTTTTGGGATGTCACTATTGGAATGTCACTAAAGTGAGTATGGGTTAATATGTAGCCATTTTGTGCGATGTTGAAGTGGAATGTGTCGGTTCATGTATATCTATAGTGTAACGAACGATGGCCACCTCGACCGTGTCGTGGATGAACTCGCCGCCGCTGGACCCTCGTGTGCTGGCGAATGTGGCGCGATCGTATGAGGGCGAGACGCTGCTGGCGCCGGAGTGCGATGTGCCGGTGTACCATGGCAAGGGGAGGCTGGAGTTCAAGACGGGCTTCACGTACGTGGGCGACTTTGTGCACGGGCGGATGCACGGCACAGGACGCATCGAGTGGCACGCTAGTGGCGTGGCGTATGAGGGAGACTTCACGCACAACGAGATCACTGGGAGGGGCACGTACTGGTGGCCGAACGGGAGCTCGTACGTGGGGGACGTCAAGCGCGGCAAGCGCCACGGCCGCGGAGTCTTCGTCACTGGAGACCGTGGAGTTCTGCTACAGCAAGAGAAGGGGGGAGAGGGTCAGGAGCATGAAACGAGTGAGGCGGGCGATGAGGTGCCCAAGCCGCTACTCTTCGCCTTCCGCTCTCACGAAACAGAGGGCCACGACGTCGATGGAGGAGGCGGTGACGGCCATGATGATGCCAAGGGTGAGGATGATGTTGGGCTCGTCATGGCCCAGAGCAACGCTCGATATGACGGCGAGTGGGAGAACGGACTGCCTCATGGCTGCGGCGAGCTGGTGTTTGACGCTGCGCGCAACATCCGCTACGAAGGGCAGTTCGTAGAGGGGAAGCGCGAGGGCAAAGGCCACATGCACTACGCATACGGCAGTGTGTACGTCGGAGACTGGAAGGCTGACGTCAAGTGTGGGCAAGGCGTGATGACGTGGATGACCCCGCGAGGAGACGGCGAGTTGCTGAACCCCGAGGACTCAACACCGCTCGAGCGGTACGACGGGGAGTGGCTAAACGACTACCAAGAGGGCTTTGGTAGGCACGTGTGGCTCGTGAACCCCCTCAGCGTATCCGCTACTGGATCAACAAGTAAAAATGTATCTCTAGCTTCCAGCAACCCACACGACAAGAACTGGTACGAGGGCGAGTTCCACGAAGGACTGCGTCATGGACGCGGTGTCTTCTTCTACGCCAACGGCGCTCGGTACGAAGGAGAATGGAAAACCAACGTCAAAGAAGGCTACGGGCTCTTCTTCTACGAAGATGGTCGCGTATTCGTGGGGCTCTTTCGCCAGGACCGCAGTGTTGAAGGCAGCTACGCAACGGCATCCACCACAACCGGAGGAATCGTTCCAGTTTCCCCCGTGAAAGCAGACTCGGCTGAGACGAACGTGGCATCAACCGTGATCTCATCTTCTCAACCTCCTTCATCTTCCTCAAGTGTTGCAGGAATCATGTTATTCATCAACGACCTGCTTCCAATATCGGACATCCCAAAGCGAGAAAAAGCTCGCAAGGCTGTGGAGCATGCAGCGCTACGTATCAACACGGAATTGCGTGCACTGTATCGCGGGTGTATCAAGGAGTCTCGACGGTCAGCCTCCTCTTCCTCCAATGATCCGGATGAGTCGGGGACGCTGCTTGAAGTGTTCGAGTGTCGGCAACTGCTCTCCCAGTGCGGCTTCTACTTTACGAGCGGGCAGCTTGAAAGCCTCATGCAGGAAGTTCGGAGAGCTCAACGATCTGGTGCCATGGCCTGCGCTGCGTCAATGAACATTGCCGAGTATTTCCTTGAAGACCTGCCTGTGGAGAACCGAGCCAATCACCCACTAGATCCAACCCGTCTCGAAATTGTTCCTTGGGACGAAGTTCTTCTCTTCAGGGAGTTTGTGGAGCTGTTTGTCCGCATCGCACATTCGTGGGTCATGAGCGCAGAGGCAGAAGGCATTATCGAGCTGGCTGGGAGCAGTGACAGCACGGTGTTTCTGGCGGACATTTTCTCCGACTTCTACGAGCAAATAGTCCGTGAACGCCAAGAAGCGCTGAGTCAAAGCTCGCCGTCATGGTTAGCCCTGTTGCGGGCGGAGCTGATGGGGAAAAACCTGCACATCGTCTTCACGAAGCACCACGACCAACTCCAAAGCTTATACAGCAGTTGCGCCGCTCCTTCCGTTCGCCGTCAGCACGAAGACGCAGTTGAGCTCGATGATGGCGAAGAGGAACCTGCACCAACGGACAAGTATACTGATGAAGTGTCAGTCAGGTCCGTGCTCGTCATGCTTCGTAATCAGAGCTCCCCGGAATCGCCCATCTTCACCGCAGACTTTCAGGTCCGCCATGCACTCGCGGCATTGAACCGAGCGTTCACGGCATCAGCGCCATCCTTGAAACCCGAGTTACATCGCAGTGTTGCTAGATCCAGCGCTACTGAAAACAACCAGGACGGCGAGCCAGACGCGTTTTTCATGAGCACAACGGTGGTTTTCTCGGAGTTTCTGGACGCCATCGCCATCGTGCTATTCACCAAGCAGCACATGAAGCTGGAGTCGGCGAAAAAGACTCCGAGTAAGCAGCAGTCGCCCCAGGAGCTACCGCTCCACGTGCTGGTAGACCAATTCATGCAGACAGTGAAAGTGAATGCCCATCCATTACTTTAAACTCCCCAATCTACCGACACACAAGGCGCCTCCTCTCTTCTACATAATGTTGTCTCCAATTGCAGTCTTGCTTGCGTAGGAGGCGTAGGGGGCTCAATGCATTAACGTGTAAATTGGATGTTTGAAGCACACGTGCAGACTATTCTAGCGCTCAGATATTTATTGTTCTCGAACCACCGTGGCAAACAAAGAAAACTATTGCATCGGATTGACGAAGAGTTATATGCAACTAACTAATGCTCGAAGCTTCTCTGCCAGACTTTTTCGGCCAGATGAGTGAGATTGTCGTGCGTAGCTCTATTTCCGTACTTTTCGATCAGATACTCCAGCTCTACTGTAGATCCACCGAATTGGTCCGAAGAATGGACCGTGTGAGAATCTCCGAATCGACTCGTTTCAGAATGGGTCTCGCGTCCATCTGTTCCGCTTTGGGTCGGTTCGCTCCACGCAGTGAGGCCACGACCTCGAGGAAGACTGAGGAGGCGAACACCCGCACGACTTGAAACGCACTTGGTAGATATTAGACTAAGCTCCTACTCCTGCACATGCACGTTGGGCAGCGTCTCCAGAGCTCCCAACCACTCGTTGCACTTCAACTCCTGTCCTCCTCCCAGGACCTTGTCTCTCCTTCCTTCGGCTTCTTCCAGGGCAGTGTCCGCACCGTCGCTCCTGCGACGCCCCCTCCAGTGCGCCAACGCACCACCGTGTGGGCTAACGGCTGCAACCGGAGCCGATTCATAACACCATCATGTCCACAAGATCAATCCAAAGCAGCTTTCCCTCAGTGAGGATCACATTCGATACAATGTGGATCTCCATGGACAAGTCCTTGGCGTGGAGCTCCCATAGCAGCCCAAAGAGGTTTCGCACTTCCTGTCGTGTCGTCGGTCGAGGCAGAGGCTCCCCAACTGGAGACAGCAATAACGCAGCGGTGTTACGAGTTTCAATGAGCTCCAAAAACGTTGCCGTCAAGTCCGTGTGCTGGGCTTTCTTCCAGGCATCCATCTCTCGATAAAGACGTCCAATAGAGCGGTTCTCCACGATTTTTAGTGCGAACTCCTGGCCTTGCCGAGTCACCTTGAACACGCGTCCAAAAGCGCCACGACCGAGAAATGCATCACCCTCTACGACATCAACACCCAATGATGAGCAGATACTGTTTAGGCGATCCACCCAGGGAGACGTGTTGTCCATCATGAAGCTCCGAAGCAACTCTCTCGAGCCCTTATCGACCCACTTCGCCGTTTGAACTTTGAAAACAACCGAATCGCGACTATTGATCAGCCAAGAGGAGCGGCGGTCAGAAAATGGCGCATGCTGGCCCATAAGGGTCAATATATTCCAGATACCGCACCACTCGGCCAAACGCAGCATCGCTATAGGTGAGGGTGCTTTCGAACAAAATGACGCAGTCGAACAGTTGTCGCTCTGCTACTCCAACGCGGAACTCTTCCGGGCCACTCTCGTTCGGTACTCGACTGGAGCGGTACATACCTTTGTGGGTCGCAAATACATCCGGTATGAGACCATTACTCGTGCTCACTCCTGGCAGTCCGAGGCAGCCGCGGGTATCTCTCGCTAATGATAAACGCCATACCACAGCTGGATAATACCCTGCTGAAATAGGGAGTAATGAATTCGACAAAATCGGCCTCGGTCGTAATGTCATCGGCACGCTCCTGGTCCTGCTCCGACCAAAATGCTTCTCTTTCCTTCGTAGGTGCAGCGTCGAAGATGAGTTCGTGTGTTTCCAATCTCTGTATGGTAGTTTGATCCAATGCTCGATCACTTAAGGACCCCGACTTCGACTTTTTGTGCCTTAAAGAGGCTAGCGTTTCCTCAACTCCCCTCTCCATGCTCTCCTGGTGGCTGCAGTTTCTAAGTAGCTCGAGGTAGTCTCGAGATTTCACTCATGTTCTGTCGTTAACTACGCCAGAACTGAGTGATTGATTGAACACAACGTTGGAGATTGTTAAAACAAAAGTTTAGACTAACAGCGTTTCGCCAAGTTTTTGCTTAAGCATTGCTAGCACTGCGCCGTCTTTCAATACCACACAGATGGCCTAGTTCACACAGCCTCGGGATTCATGGCCTAGGTGTACCGTGATAGCAAGCGGATGCCAGATCGCCATCGAACAGGTGCCCATCGTATGCATAGCGGGCATAACGACAAAACACATAAGTGAATTTATGAAATCCACGAACGCGCGAAATACTTTGAAGTACGTACAGCTGACGACATGATCGTGCATCAGGATCTAAGGGTGAAGCCCCAAGTACAATTTGACTGGCAGGGACCCAGTGCATTTGATTGGAATCCAGTCTGCATCTTACATACTGCACACACATGCAAACAGATCAAACGCCGTCATGCATCCGTTGCTTACTAGAAAGTGGAACCAACTGCATGCGATGAAAATCGTTGGCTCGGACTGACGAAGACTTGCAACCTAGACTTGTAAGTAAGACCTGAAGCTTCGGCAGACTTTTTCGGCCAGATGACTGAGGTTGGTTTGCGTAGCGCTGCTGCCATACTCGTCGATCAACTGCTTTAACTCTGGTTCCACCCAATGGGTCCGAAGAATGGACTGCGTGAGCATTTTAGCACCAAGAAGTTTCATAGTTGGGGTCGCTTTCACTGCTCTCACAAGGTCAATCCAGAGCAGCTTCCCTCCAGCAATAATTACATTCGCTACGCGAGGATCTCCATGGAGCAAGCCCTTGGCGCTCCCCAACAGGAGACGGCAATAACGTCAGGTGTTTCGACGGATTTTACAGGACTGATCGCCAAGCCTGTGTGCTGAGCTTTCGTCAAAGCCTCCTTGTCCTGATGGAGGCGGTCAGTGGAGCAGTCCTCCGCGATCTTTAGTGCGAACTCCTGACCTTGTCGGGTGAGCTTGAACACGCGTCTAAAAGCGCCACGACTGAGAAATGCTTCACCCTCTACTACGTCAACGCCCAATGATGAGCAGACACGCTTTAGACGCATTACCCAGGGAGGGATGTTGCTAACAAGGAAGCCCTGAAACAAATATCTCGAGCCCTCCGTGACTCACTTCGCCGTTTGAACTTTGAAGACGACATCATTGTAGCTGTCGATCACCCAAAAGGACCGGCGGTCGAAGAGAATGGCGCTTGCTGACCCCCTGGAGCAAAACTCTTCAAAATACCGTACTACTCGGCCAAGTGCAGCATCGCTAAGTGTGAGGGTACTTTCGAACAAAAGACGCAGTCGATCAGTTCTACCTCGACTTCTCCGAATCGAATATCACCATCTTGGCGTTGCGGGGCTGGCCTGGAGCGATACATCCCTGGGTGGGTCGCAAATTCACCCGGTTGAATGTCAGTACTTGTGCTCGCTCCTGCGCGTGGATATCTCTCGCTGTTATTGACGAACACCATACTACAGCTGCATAGAATGTCGTTGAAAAAGGAGTAATTAATGCGACGAAGTCAGCCTCAGTAGTCATCCCATCGACATGCTCCGGCTCCTTCTCCGACCAAAACGCTTCTCCGTCCCCCATGGGGGCCAGCTCGGAAATCAGTTCGTGCTTTTCCAATCTCTGTCGGGTAGTTTGACCCAATTCTTCATCAGTTACGGACCCAAACTTTGACTCTTTGTGCTTGAGAGCCGCCGCGCTTTCCTCAACTTGCCTCTCCAAGCGCTCTAGGCGTACGCGATCTTCTCGGATTATTGCAAATAACTCGCGGATGTTCTTGCCTTTCGGCACCACCACTAGCACGTGGACTTCGCCCTCGCCCGGGTGAAAATCAGCTCCAAAATATCTCTTGAGAACCCGCGTGCCAGACATTGAATCCTTGTGATCGCGCAGCGTTCCATCGTCATCGCGCGCTACAGATGCCGCACTAGACCATTTCAACCACCCGTCGAAAGTCGTCGTCCTCGCCAGAAAGAGCTGCAGGTCCGGTGCGTCAACATACTCCAACTTGTTCGCGTTCTGCTCTCTGACCTTATCCTTCATCTTGCACACGCTGTCACCGTCGTCAACCTCTACCTCGAACGCCGACCTCTCGCCAACAATTGCGCACATTAAGCGGAGCTTCACCATTTCGAATGAGATGGCTAAACGGAAATGGTATTCGTAGACTACCGAACACGATATGGTCTTGAGGCGTCCATCATGGAAATATTAGCAGGCAAAAAAAATGATGTGATAGGTCTGCACGCTTGAACCGTGGGATAACCTGCAGCAACCGACAAGAGATGACCATTACATCCGTCCTCGGCATTGCATCCCGGTCGGCATGAACACCCACCTTCATCGATCATTTTTCAGGTCCGTAGCGCACGGCACCAGTTTCCATTGACACCCGAGCCGAGCACCAGTGACGGTAACCACGACGCAGAGCAAGACGCCTTTATCACTACGACGCTGGAGTTCGCGGAGTTTCTGAATGCTATCGCCATTTCCTTCAACCAACAGTACAGGAAACTGGAATCGTTGAAAAAGATCGAGCAAGCAGCAGTCAACCCCGGAGCTACATGCTGGTAGACGAGTTCACACAGTCAGTGAAGGTGGAAGCTCATCCATTAGTCTAGACTTTCCAACATAATGCCATCCAGCCTCTAGCACACAAGGTGCACTCTCTCATCTAAATCACGTAGCCTGTCTAGTAAACACTGCCAACGGGGCCCATGACCTGAGCGTACCGCGACGGCAAACTAACAGCCTGGTCGTCATCGAAAGTAGCCTCGAACACCTGGCCGTCGTATGCATAGCGAACGTAGCTGCGTAACATACACATACATGACTATATGAGCAACACACAATACAAACAAGCGCGAAGTAAATACTTACAGCAGCGGCTTCACGGCGGAGTTTGCGGGTGATCGTGCGTCAGCAATAGTCTGATCACCATCCACGCACGGGTTGTAGAATCCTAGCAGTCCAGCCTTTGAAGACGAGTTCAGCGCAAGCTCTCCGTCCTGAATACCATCGCAGCAGCACAACCAACTCAGTTAGCCTTCGACCGATGCACAATAAAACAAATGCTGTCTTACCTTGACGAAGAACCGCAGCGGAACCGTCACATCGATCCACCTCTGCTCCAGCAGCTCCGCTTCCTCCTCCTGCTGACTAATGTTGTCACCGCTTCCGATCTCTTCGTCGTCTCCAATTGCACGGTTCAGGTCCTGTTCCCGCATCGCTCTCAGCGCCACATCCAGATCATCTCGACGCGGTTCGCGCGACTCCGGGCTAGTCGGGTTCTTGCCGTACCGAGCCAGCAAAATCACCAGGCCCTTGCCGTCCTCCCGCTGCCGTTCCTGCTCCACCTTCTCATTTGCACACCGCTGCATCAGCTTCTGCTGCTCCAGCGCGCCCTGTCGAGCTGCTGCAAGGTACTGCACACGCATATCGTGACGGTGCTCCAGTTCCAGACGCCGCTTACGCTCCTGCGCGGGCTTCACCAGCTGCGTGACGACGGCCGCGACCACGAACGGCGACGTGGCTGCACAGAACGTCGCGAACGCCGACTGCGCGGAGAACGGCGACAGGAAAATGGGCACCACAAAGCGCACGCTGCCGCGCGTGAAGCCCACGCGCAGCGTCACGCCCGCGCGCGCCAACAAAACTCCGAGCGCCACTCGCGTGCGGTTGGAAATCTCTCGACTGGCCCCGGCAACGAACGACAAACCCATCGCAAGACTCGCGCGCAGCGACACCTTGGCCGTCGTGGCTGCCATCAGCGCGCGTCGGAGCTGGAAGGACACGTTGGGTCCGGCGCCATTGACCGCGACCGCCGCGGTGGCGTTGTAGGTGCCTGTGTCTTGACTGAGCGAGGCCGAGATTCCGTCGCGCGTGCTCCACATCATGGCGCCGTGCAGCTCGGGCGAGAGCAGCTGGTTGGCGCCCATGGAGATGTCAAGGCCGTTGTCGTCCAGCTCGGGGATGATCATGAAGACCGTGTGCGGCGACACGGGCTGGCTGATCTGGCAGTGCAGCTTGGGCATCCAGCCCAGCTCGCTCGAGAGCGTGAAGGACGGCACGCTCGGGTCGAACGACTGGTGCGCCAGCTGCATGGTGAAGCTGCCCATGCCCAGCCCGACCTTGTCCGCCATGTAGCCGCCCAGCGTGAGTGTCGTGTTGCGCGAGAGCGGGAAGCTCGTGCGCTGGTGGATGGTCATCTCGGAGCGCTCCACGTAGCGCGCGCCGCGCTGGAAGAGGCTGCGCAGGCCGCGCATGGGCGCCTGCACGAACTGCGACGCGTCCACGCTCATGGACATCTCGCTGAAGGACGAGAACTGCGCCTCCAGCGCCTGCTGGTTGGTGCGGCGCAGCAGCTCCTCCACGTAGCGCTGCAGCTCGCCCGCCGTCTCGAGGTGCGCGCCCAGCGCGCGGGACCGCGCGGCGCCGTCCTGCTCCAGCACCAGCACGCCGCGCTCGCCGTAGACGTCGTAGGCGCGGCGCTTCAGCGGGTCGCACAGCACCTTGTACGCGCGGTCCAGCGCCGCGTACTGCGCGTTGGCGGCGCCCACGAGGCTCGTATCGCCGCGGCGCCGGTCCGGGTGGAACTCGCGCGACAGCGTCAGGAAGCGCGCGCGGATGTCGTCGCTGGAGGAGCCGCGCGCCACGCCCAGCAGCGCGTAGTAGTCGCGCTCGAACTGCCGCCAGTACGCGGCGTCCTCGGCGCCGTGCTCCGCCATGATTGTCGTGTGTGGCGTGCCGGTTTGGAACGGCGTAACGCTATTATTGCTGATACGAACGTCGTAAAAAACTGTGTTACCCGGTATGTCAGATACGAACACCTTGGCTTCGTGGCAGAGCCCAAAACAAAGGATTTCATTAGTCGCATCATATTTTGGGTGGCTCCAACACAAATTAAACTTTTGATTGACCAATTACAGGCGTGGGAGGGGTTAATGCGATCCTGTGATTGGTCGATCAAAAGTTTAATATGTCGAGACGTATATTTCGGGTATGAAAGTTCTCAATAAACATGAAGACAATACTTAACTAAGTATGTATTATTGGCTAGAGCCATATTGAAAATTATTATTATTGCCCGGGGATACAAAGCACATACATTTTTAACAATATCAATATTTCAATTTCATGCTAATTTTAATTAGCATGAAATTAAAAACTAATATATTATTAATAATTATAAGTGGCAATCGTCATAAATACTGTTTTTCAATTGAAATTAATAACTGAATTGGAGCCCCTGGTTCCAACACCTTGCAGGGGCGACGGGCACGCCGCTGTGCGCTTGTTCATTGATAATGTTCTACACCATCGTCTGTCAGACACTCTGTTTGACCAATCCGATGCTGTGAAGATCGGACCCTGGTGCTAGGAAAAGGCACTCAAAACTCAAAACGGGAGAACCCGTTAGTAGTACGAAAATAGGCCTACTCAACGCAAACTATTGTATCGCGCAGTGTCGTCCGAACGGCGCCACAGGATTAATTTCCAGGTGGCGTATCTGTCGTACTCGACAACACGGCCAGCTGAAAATTAATCCTTCTGTTATTAAAAAAAATGCGATGACCCCGACGAATCAATTGCATAACAGTACGGTCGAAGCTTAGCTTGACACATCGCGTTTGAACTTCTGCACTAGAATATCAAACTTCAAAAACGCGCAGTTAATTAAACATCTAGGAGTTGTTTGATCTGTTGTAGGTTGTTTGTACACTACAGTACCGTAGTTGCTTAGTAGAGGATCACGTGGATAGCGCCGTTCTACTGTACCATCTGAAGAGAGCTACCTATTCGCGTAGACGATAGAATTGATTGGTATTGCAGCCGTGGGGGTCATCACCTTGCCCTCCACCAGTGCAACCAATAACGTCATGTTTCCCAGAGACGGACGTCTTCAGGCAGGTCCGCCAGCGGCATTTGGTTGCAAGACCTCATTCCCCATTTCTCCACGATGGTCCCAAGCCTTCTCTCAAGCGTCTCTGCTGTTGTCCTCGCCACCGCTTTGGTAGCGAACCCTGCTGCTGGAATAGCAGCGCTGCCCACGCCCCGTTCGGAACGCCTGGCGAGTGTGTCGTCGGCAGCCCGTACATTAGTCCCAAGGACCTCCAGTGGATCTGGGACAACCGTATGAAGTCGGACATGACTGGCCACGACAACTGGATTATTGATCACATCGTGAAGAACAAGGGCTCGCTCAACTACTGCGTCCGCTGGGACAGCCAGACCATCAAGCTCACCAAAGAAACCGCGCAGAAAATCGAGGCAATGTTGGCCCGCCAGTACGCTGCGTGGAACCGCTGGCTCATCGGCTACAACTGCTGGCCGTACGACGAGATCAACATCAACATCGTCGACTGGGCTGCTAGGAAGGCCTCCGACCTGGAGTGGTCGGATAACTCGCTCGGCAAGATCTACATCGGCGACCTCGACCAGGACGGGGACCATCAATGCCCGAGAACTGCTACCGGGCGGCGGACGGTTTTGGTGGCTGGTCGGAGTCCAGCGGCTGCGAGGGCAAACCGTTCGACGTCTCGCTGTGGCCCACGGAGGAAATGACCGGAGGCTTGGGGAACTACAACTTCCAGCAGTTCGGTATTGAGACGTTGCTGGACGGCATCGATAACGAGCAGCTCACGGTCGCCGCGCACGAAATCGGCCACAGGTTCGGCCTGCCGGACTTCTACGAGATGCCCCAGCCGCCCAACTTTAAGCCCTGCCTCATGTGGGGGCTGTCCACGGACACGATGAAGGACACGGACGGCTGGATGGTTCGCCGCGTGCTGGAGAACAAGAAACCCAATTACCACTTCTAAGTGTGGGAAGGGCGGGTTTCATGCATAATATGCATGAAACTGGTCAAACAAAAAGACGCTAAGCGGAGTTATCGAGATAATCGCGTTTAAAGTTGACCAATCAAATTTCGGACATAACTGGACATCAACAAGTTGAAAGTGAAAGCCACTCGTAAAACGCGTAAAAACACTCTTATTCGATTGCTTTTAACATGAGCTATCCGATAATATACAATATGTCGAAATCGAAAAAATATTGAGGTCATACGCCCCAAATAACACCAGGGATTTCGGGGTCCGAAAATGGAGATATTTTTTCAGACCGGTGTCACTCCACGAGTTCTTCATATTTGGGAGCGTATGATAGCTCAAAAGAAGCACAAGACAGCCCTCTTGCGATTGATGTACTTAAATCGTGATTCGTACTTAGGTTCGTAAGCATTTTTTCGTTTGACGCGGTCTCATATAGTCTTAGAGTTCGTTTGTTGTTCATAAAGATTGATGTTCTTTCATCTCGAGATCATGGGTCGTGATGAGCAGACCACTTTAAAAGTGGCAATTGTCAATTTCTCCACTTTTTGCTTTAAAGTGGCACATTTTCTCGGCAGGAAGTGGAAAAAGTGGAATCCATACAATAATTATTAACCGTCTGGCTAAGTACGAGCCTAAAGGTGGCAGACACATTTCAGGTCAGTAGTAAGTACTTAACCCCTATCTATGGATACCTTTTGTGTTAGACTGCGAGCTCGCTGTGCATCGGATCGCTGCCCCCGCTGCCACTTCCAAACCTCGTTTTACATCGATCAAAATACGTAAATGTATAAATTGACAACAGCGGCAACCGCATACCTGCATACGCGTGGCGGCATGGTGTCCCCCTTCGTGGCTGTACGGAAACCCCGTCTTGCTTCCTAGCTTCGTTTATCGCATAGTACACCTATGACGCCTTTGCGTCGATGAATCATACTGCTTGCGTTGATGAGCTATAACGTGCGAACTTCGCTATTGCCTCAAGTGTATTTCGCTACGAATAGAAGCACAGTCGTGTTCGTCGACTCCAACAGCATTTTCGCAGTTTCCGCCATGTATGGCATGCATCTGTACTGTGTCAGCGCCCTTTTGACAGCTATGTAAGTGCTATTGTGCGTGGTATCGTTCAGAAGGGACTTGAATTCTGGTCATTCTTACCAAAATTTACTCCTTCGCCAGAAAGTGGAAAAGGTGGAAATTTTTCTAATTTTGCCACTTTAAAGTGGTCTGATGATGAGCAAGCAACGGTATTGTGTATTATTTCATCTCGCGTGATTTTTACACAAATGCTTGTGGTGGATATCACTGTCCCCGAGTATGAGGAGGAACGAGCTGTTGGAAGCTGCCAGAGCGGGCGAGCTCCATCGCGCCAAGGCCTTGGTGCATCAAGGCACCGGCGTGGACAAGGACAACGCGCTTCGATGGGCTGCAAGAGAGGGGCGTCTGGAGGTAGTGCGGTATCTAGTGGATCGTGGGGCTGCGGTGAATTCCGTCGACTACTTAGGAGAGACAACATTGATGAGAGCCGCTGAAGGTGGACAGCTCGGTTTATTACTGAGGAGTGCAAGTGTGACGTGAATACTTCGAGTTTGAACGGATCCACGGCTCTGGTGTACGCTGCTAGGAGCGGACAGGTGGAAGTTGTGCGGTATCTTGCTGGGTCACCTGGTATTGAGCTGGATGCCAAGGACACGTACGGATACACAGCACTGATGAAGGCCTGCAAAGCTGGACATGTTGATGTTGTCCGATGTCTCGCTGAAGCTGGCGCCGATGTGAATGAGACTGACGCACTCGGACACACAACGTTGATGACCGCGTCCGGAAGTGGCTACCTCGAGGTTGTGCGATATCTCGTTGAGGAATGCGGCATGGCCGTGAATTCTAGGAACATGCGCGGTGACACGGCAGTCCGACTGGCTGTTGCGTCTAGGCATCATGGTATCGAGCAGTATCTCACCCCTCTGCTTCTCACCCCTCGAATCATCGATACGGCTGGCGATGCAGCTGAGATCGAGTCGAGCTGCTTTCTGACGAATGACGGCACGGAGTCGATAGAGCTGGAGTCTGCCCCACAAGTAGTTGCAGCAATGCAAAGACTGCTAATTCGGCTGGAGAAGTCAGAGAGCAAGCAATCGACACGAGTGCTTTCGATGTATACTTCACTTTGGAATCGCCTCAAGCAGATACTTGGACAGATCAGTGGTAATGCCAGCGATGAATGCGAGGCAGAATTTCGCGCACTGGTAGCTGAAGCTAAAACAGCCACGTTAAAGCAGCAGACGAGGTCCGACTTGGACACGGAAGCAACATTGCGGGTTCGGCTTTTGAGCTAAGGGTGGACGCATTTATGGACTCTACTGGCGGGAAGGGTACAACAGACTTGGCGTGGGCAGCTAGGAATGGTCGAATTGAAGTGGCTCGAGCTCTTATTGAAGGCGGCACAGACGTAAATGCTCAAACAGAGGATGGCCGAACTACTCTGATGATTGCCGCGGAAGATGGCCAGCTCCAAATGGCTAAATACCTCGTTGAACATGGTGCCAGTCTGACTGCCAGAGACAGTGTGGGGAATACAGTGCTGATGGCAGCCGCCGAAAAGGGGCGTGTGGAAATCTGCCAATATCTCACTGAGCTGCCTGGCTGCGACGTCAATGCCGCGAACGCATTCGGGCATACAGCTCCACTGCACACGGACATCTCAATGTTGTTCGGTACCTCGTCGAGCAACTCAGCGCTGACGTTAATACTGAGAGCAAATCCGGTCTTACAGCGCTGATGATGGCCACAATGGGCGGGGCGAGCAACATTGTGCGATTTCTGGCGGATAGCCACGATGCGGACGTCAATGCCAAGACGAATGATGGAGATACGGTCTTGATGCTCGGCGCCGGTGGAGGACATGCTGATGCATACATCTACTTCACTGAGGAGCGGAGACTTATTGTAAATGCCAAGAACGGCAACGGTGACACCGTACTCATGAGGGCTGCAGCAAACGGGAAAGTTGCGATCGTTCGATACCTCACAGAACACGGCGTGGACGTGAACGCCACAAACAAAAGAGGACACACAGCGCTGATGAAAGCCGCCAGAAATGGCCACGTCGAGGTCGTCCAGTGCCTCCTTGAGCAACGCGGAATTGATGTCGACCACAGAAACCAGCGCGGAGAATCTGCGGTTCGATTAGCCGCTGATCACGGACATCAAGAAATTCGGCGGATGCTGACACCATTTCTCCCACCTCGCCCTCAGCATGCCACAGCAGAAGTTATGTGTTCTAATGCTTTATCCAGCTACATGATCCCTCCTTCCGAAGTTGGTCTGGTCCACTTCTTCAAGAACGGCAACATTGGAGGCGAATACTTTGCCAAGTGGTTGGATGCCGACGCTGTCGTCAGGCTCATCATTCCGGACGCATCTCACACTGCATCCAAGGATGAAGTTCGCTTGTGGCAGCAACTGCGGCACCCCAACGTGATGAAAATGTATGGCGCGTGCGATGTTGGTCCAAACCTGCAGTTCTTCGTTTGTGAGTACGCGAGCAATGGATCACTTATTGAGCACGTGCAGTTCGCTTCGACCAAGAGACCAGCGATGTGGAAGTTGCTGCATGAGGCTGCACTAGGTCTCGAATACCTTCACGAGCGGGGAATCGTTCACGGTGATCTTCGCTGTGGTAACATTTTGATTAGTAGTGATGGGCTGGCGAAGCTGTCGAATTTCGGCTTGAGTGGATCGACGAAGAGATCTCGTGTGGGTCTTTGGATGTGGTGGGGTCAAAACGCTGGCAGGCTCCGGAGGTTTTGGAGGGTAAGCCGCCGACAGTTGCGTCCGATGTTTATTCTCTGGGTCTGTGTATTGCGGAAGCTGCCACGAGGGAGAAGCCGTGGGGCTGCCAAAAGGAGCACGCTGTGGACAAGTATAAGATCCACTGGACTCCAGAGACGGATACCCACAGCTTCAGTGAACCTGACTGCCCACCTGGAGACGTGCGCAGGCTGGTATGGCGGATGTGTAGCTACGATCCTGACCAACGGGCAAACCTGTCTTCCGTTGTCTTTGAGCTCGAACGCTTGACTTCTGCTGAGAGTTCTTTGTCTTCCGACCCGGAGTGTGAGCCTGCGATCGCTGTGGATGACAATGAGAGCATCGACGTTGACGAATTGTGGCTGGATGTGGAACAGTTCATGATTCTGTGCGACGAAGACCGGTATTGCCGAGCATTTGACGACCTCAAAAGCCTTCGTAAGGCTTTGAAAGATTCAAGCAGGAACCCGAAGTAGTTAGCACAGTTCAAGGCGCTTCTCACGGACTTTTGTCGGATAATCACAATGCCACCTGATCAATTCTCCCTGCTGCAAGCTTCTTCAACTCGTGGAATGATCGCAAACATGGACGCGTTCCATTCACGCATTGATACAGTATTGATATCCCTGAAGTCATCGTTAAATGAAGAGAGTGAGAGGAATTCACGGTGGCAACACCAGCGCAATGAACAGACCGGGAGGCTAACTTCGGAAGTGCAGGATACTTCGCTTCTATTGGACCGCCTTAAGACACCAGAAGAACGAGCGGCATACCTGAGGACCTTGAAAACAGAGATGGACAACCCTCAATCCAAGTACACACCAGACGAACTTACCGTGATGACCGACACATACACTGAAATTGCATCCACAATTGAGAGTGAGGATTTGTCGGAGCTTATCCCCGGATGGTTCATCCCTAGGTTCGAGTTGATCGTCGATGAGTGGCGTTGCCTGGGAAGTGGCGGGTTTGGGAGCGTGTTCCGAGCCAAGTGGCTTGACTCCGAGGTGGTGGCAAAGCTCCTTGGGTCTGAAACAGGAAAATCCTCCCAATCGAACTCGTCGTTGCTGTCGGACCTTTCAAGCTCCCAATCTTTAATAGAGTCTGCTGACCGAGAGGAAGCAATAGCCACATTTCGGCATGAAGTTGAGATTTGGTTTGGATTCAACCATCCTCATATCATTCGGCTCTTCGGCGCCTGCCACGTTAGCACGCCATTCTTCGTGTGCGAGTACGCCACCAACGGCACCCTCGTCAGCTACTTGAAAAAGCACCCGGATGAATTGTGGACGAAGCTGCACGAGGCCGCGTTGGGTGTTCAGTATCTCCACGCTAGAGGGGTTGTACACGGTGATCTGAAGGGCAACAACATCGTGATCGGGAGCGATATGAAGGCGAAGGTGACGGATTTTGGCTTGAGTTCTATTGCGAGCAAGGAGGATATGCCACAGATTTCAGGCGCGTGGCATTGGGTGGCGCCAGAATGTCTACCGGAGACCAACGACGCAGCACATAACTCGGCAAGCAAAAAGCCGACATTTGCGTCAGACATTTTCTCTCTTGGCATGTGTATTGTGGACGCACTGCGCGTTGTGGAGAATGTAGAAGCGGTGAAGTGCGGAAAGGTGCCGCAGCCTTGTCTGCCGTGGGGTAAACTCGACAACTTCCTCGTGCGGTACCATGCAACGAAGAGCAAACTTCCTGCAACACCTGCGAGCTGCAGTGACGACGAGTGGGAAATTGTAAAGCAGATGTGTGCGTTCGATCCGGAGAAACGAATCAAGATCTCGACTGTCGTTGACAAATTGGCGCAAATGGCCAGCGATCAACAGGACAGCCTTAAGGACAACTTGGAGACGGAGCAAGGAGCTCCGAAGGTCGCTCGGGAAGCAATCACAGCAGCACAAAAGCTGCTGAACCAGTTGGTAGACGCAGAGGACCGATCGAAGCCGCTACCTGCTTTGTATGCTTCGCTCTGGGATCGCCTGGGGCATGTACACGACACCATCGACGACAAGCACGAAAGCGAGTGTCAAACCGAGTTTTATTCACTGGTTGCTGATGCTGACGGGGCTACGCAGATGCTACAAGACGTGAGCGATAGTCTCATTCGTTTAGCTGAGACAACAATGCGGTATTACGCTCTGAATCGCCGTCTGGACAAGTTTTGCGATGCTTACTCCCCTCAGCTCATGCAGAACACGGAAACGGCAGAGCCAAGTGAGAGCTTTTTGGCTCGGTGGTCGCGCGTGTTTTGGAATCCCTAGTGGATCATCGAGTGGAAGATCTTTCGTGTATGCCGTGGAGCTCGCTACAATGCAAGTCCAGTTTGCATTTCTACGAATTTGATGAATACTTTATGCGGCAAATATTTGATCTTCATGGCTAACTTTGAAAACATTTCAACCCGAAGAAACTCTTAACTGGGCACTACTAGGCTTGCTTTTACCCATTCAGGACACAGTGATGATCTTGGAGTTACTTAATATTGCTCGTACGACGTCGACGCTTGGTTGGAGGCTCGTACGCATCAAGTGGTAGCGAGACCACCGCCGGTCGAGCGGATTTATTCTTATTGGGTTTCTTCGCGCCTTGGACAAGATCATCCCACTTCAGCAAAGCACGCGTCATGCGGTCACGCAAGTCCCCGATCTGCAGCAGCACCTCGCGTTGAACCTGTATCGTCGCAGAGCTGGATGAAGACGATCCTGTGAGCCTCGAGTGCTGCTCCCAGTCGTCTAGCAAGGGTAGGAAACGTTTTCGCATACGCAGTGCGCCATCCGCCAGACTTCGGAAGAGCGCGTCGTTATCAGAAGATTCCTCGCACACTTGCTTGGAAACCTCGATGGTCAGCTGGTACGACGAGCTTCCGAGACCGTATGCTTGCACAATGTCATTGATGTCCATGTTGTTGCCGTCATCATCGCTGTCAGAGGCTTCGCCCTGCAAAATACTAGAAGCTGCGTTGTCTTTCGTCTCCACACTTTCCCACTCTACGTCATCGTTCTCATTCTCCTCCTCAGCATCATCAGCTCCCAATCCTGCCAACGACGGCTCGTTCACGTCTTCCCATTGCACCTCATCATCACCATCCCCTTCGGCTCGACCACCGACACCATTTGCGGCATCTTCAGTATCTCCGTTACGCTTCTCTTCACCCAAAACAACATCATCTGCAGGACCTGGCAATGCCGATTTCTCTTCCTCTTCGTCAGACCCGTCTCGCACATCAAACGCGTCCAGCGTCGGCACCAGAATCTCAAAGACCCGGTTCATCTCCACCAGCACCTGCTCCATCTCCGGCACAAACTGCGCCATCTCTTTGTCTCTTTGTTGCTTCTTGGCTTCACTCACGCGTTCACGATGCCGTCTCGTGTCGACCTCTCGCTGTCGTTGTTCCTGCCGCCTCTCACGTCTGTGTGGGAACGCATACCCTCTCTGCATCAGCACAGCATGGCCTGCCACCAGCGACGGGTATTTGTCTCCAAAGTCCTGCTTCCACGTCTCAATCAGCGCCAGCACCTCCGTCACCTGCGGGGACCCCTGCGTTCTCGCCCGCAACGCTCTTGAAACATTGGCACTCGGGTCTTCACCCGCAGCCACCAGCAGCTGATCAAAGAACGAGGCCGTTTGATTCGTGATCAGCGCTCGAAACACCACGGACCGCTTGAAAATCTCATCACACAGCGCCACCGCCTGCAAAATAAATAATAAATAAATTACCGTAAGAGGAAAAATACTTTACGTCTTCACTGACCCTGGAGAAGACGGTAGGCGGCCTGCTGCCTCGCTGCAATTGACACAGCACTGTTAAGTGGAGCTTCTTAATGCAATGAGACTGCACTGGAGCTGCGGAATCTCGTAGCAGGCGCTTGAGATGCTTCAAGCAGGTTTCGGGGGTATCGGAGTTGTCATTTTCTGCAGATGGCGCCATCATTCCGCGTCGGCCACGCCCTCGACCGCGTTTACTGCTCGTCGACGCTGTAGACGCGACACGGAAGTAGCCGGCCAGGGCCTCGTCGAAGCGAGCGGCCTCGTTCTCGCTGTTGAGCTGCTGGATGCCCGTCGGGGCCGAGACTCCATGGCGTCGGTCCATCTGCCCGCTGTAAGAAAACAAAAACGAGTGCGAAATGAAAACATATTGGTAATTAATTTTCTGAGATATAGTGGAAATAGTTTTCAAGGCGAAAATTCGGACTCATTTTTCTAAAGCTCGCCAATGAGTGATGGCCAGGCCTCCTTATGGATTTTCACGGGTTTTCCCAGATTTCCCATTTTTAAATCTCAAATACTCCCGTGAAAAACAGAAGACTGATTTGCGGGCTTTGCCCCGCGGTGTTCGCAGTTCGGTCTTTTTTTTACTGTATTCCAAAACCTGCACAGTAGAAAACTTTATTTACTACTAGTAGTATATGTAGTAATAGCGCTATGCTTGCCGCAGAAGAGAGTTGCGTGAAGACGTTCTTGAATTTTAGCACTTGCTCTTATTTTTGTACTGTGAAATATCATGCGTCCATTTGCTGGATGGCTTACGCTGCTCGATCTGCCGTGGCGAATCAACGTGAACTCACACTATTGGGCTGCTACCGCGGGAGTCCCCGTATGTGGCGCTGCAGCAGTGCGCGGCGACGGGCGTAGTCAGCCGTCATAACCGCAAATTTCATTTCATTGCATGAACTCACACTAGCGTTACTGCTATTCATGGTACATACTGCACAGCTTCAAGCTGCCAGACTGAGCTTCGGTTCATATTGAATGTATAATGTGTTTATTTTTTCTGGGGTTATTCGGTGTATATGTCCAAATTTGACGCCTGCAACTTGATTTTGTAGAATTGCTATACTGATTTCAATGCCGTTTAGGTCTCCCCACTTCAAAGTCGACTCTCAACAAACAGTCTGCACCCACGACCATTAATCAATAGCGATATTTTTGTTTTACTCAACGACGGTTTATGGTTGCTGCTGCTGTGGCGTCCGACATGTACAAACAGATATCGTATCTTAGAAATGACAGCCACATGCCAAAACTAACTTAGCCGATACGACGGCGACCTACCTATTGCTCGCTTGCTGCCCCGATTCGGTCGATTCCTGATATATTGCATTGACTGACTGACACCCCTCTTTATTATTGCTGCTGCCTGGTTAGCTTGTCGCCGAAAGCATGCTTTGAGCTGTAATAAATCGGAGTTTGCGCTGCTGTGCTGTAATACAATTGCTGTACAACTGTCATTGCTGTTGTTTCAAATAGCTCTTTAACCGATAATGCAACATAAAAGCATATGTTGCATTATCTCAAACACCCGCAGGGGCACAAACGACAGTTCTTACGAACTGCGGATTTTATGCTACGGAATTGTATATGATTAGCTTTTGGTGTCGCAGCGCAACGAAGAGAACGCTATCTAAATGCTGAAAGCGCTCGAATAATGGTCCAACACAGCTGTGGGACGATAGGACCGTCTACTGGGTTCATTTACCTTATTTTGTGTCAGGTATCTTTGTAAGCTTGAGCTGCCAGGACAGGGTGGGGAAATCAAGGGTGGGGGTGGACTTTTGAGGTTGCAAATTCACTAATAGAATGCTTGCTACGGCCCATTGTTGCTTGGATCAGGATACCTTTGCTACGGGTTATTATTGTTAGATCACGGCAATCTTTGCGTATTAGGTCTCTTTTTTAGTAGATGTAGGAAAACATATTCAATCAGCGGAACTGTCAACGATAATTAAACGTGGGCGCTTTTCAATATTGAGGTTGTTCCGCATAGACAACGATCATCACGACAGCACTGACTGTGATGTATCTTAATGTTACTACTTGGGGTTCTTATGATGACATCTAATGGCTCTGAAGCACCAGTATCAACATCGGAATAAGTGGGTGAATCATTTGACTTAAGTAAAGTATGCGTCCCATAACTCCCATATTCAAATCCAGAATTCTCCCTTGATAAGCGACTTTACGGGAAAACTGGGAACTCCCATCTTTAAGGAGGGCTGGTGATGGCACACGATTGAGCCATTGTATTGACGACTTTTATATTTATTTTATTTTTCGTCGGAATTAATATTTAAAACGCTGATTTTTTTTTCTTTTTCGCTGAACTGACAGAGGCCGACCACACGATTCGACGGAGTTTTGCAGCAACGTGACTATACAGAAGAAGTGTGTTTTATTGTACTTCTACTTCTTTCACGTATCGATAGTGATAAGTGTTGTCTTTCTTTCTTGTTTTAGTAGGATTATTCTTCATGGGTGCAGCGTGGCGCTCCCTCGCACCATGCAGATGTACTCCACAAAACTTAACTCGCCAGAACCTGCCGAAGATGCTGACACTAAATTGCGCCTTGCTCAAGGAAAGGAAGTTGATCGCTGCCGTCGTTAACGACAGCCTCCCCGTCGCTCTGCTGCAGGACGAGATCAAGTCGAAGTTTCCCAACACCGTGTGGGCTGCGTGTGATCTGCAGCTCTTCTTGGCGAAGAAGTCCGACGGCACGTGGCTGGACGCTCATAGTGACTTCGCTTCTGTGGAGCTCGATGGCGACGGTTGCCCGCAAGGGCTCGTGGAGATGCAGCCACTGCTGTGGCCCAAGAACCCCAGGTACTTCGGAGCCAACTTTAAGCCAGCGGTGGGTCAGCTGCACGTGCTGGTGGTGACTCCGAAACCACAAAAGCAATTGTGGCTCGTCACGGGGTCGGTCGAAGATGCGCTTGGGCCGAACCGAATTCGTTGGACACTGTACATGATCGCTCAGCAGTATGTTGGTTTCTACGATCCTGCTCGCCGCAGTTGTGATGGGAAAGAAAGTGCGTTCTGGTATGAAGAAGACAAGCTCTGTATTCACGTTTTATTCAAGACTGGTAAGGCAATTTGGTGATGTAATTTGTAGGTGGATGCGTGACCTAACCATGTTATGTTTGCAGAATTGAATGCATTGGAGTTCGAGAATGCTGCTCGTGAGGGGCAGATGGTGCTTGGCTCTCCACTAACGGGCCACGAGGTGTGGACAACCGTGGACGAGGTGCTCACTACTGAGCCACAAGCGCTTCGGCGCATCTTTTGCGACCAATACAAACCTGACGAGGCGATGTCTCCGCAATAATTGAGGGCTCTGCCAGGCGATCTGGATGCGGGCTTTGAGCTCATGGATACTTCGACGGATGAGTTTCAGTATCAAAATGGGGCTTACTCACTTTGTCCAGTTGCAGCTAGTGTTGAATGAGGGTAACCTGCGGTATTTGCTGGGCACGATAATCGATGGCTTCGCCAGACGATCTGAATTTCGGTTTTTGAACTCTTGGATACTTTATTTCACTATCAACGAGTAGAACAGGAACGGTAATTCATCCCGTGAGGGCTGCAATGTGGCGAAACCCCCGCCTACCGGTGATGCGAAGTTCTCATCGTTCTCATTGAGAACGATCTGAACGATCTGCTGGCACTTTCATTCGAAATGCGCGGATATTTGACGGCAAGGAGAATTTTGTTTTGCTACTTCAGAGCATTTGTAGCGATGCGAGTCCCAAAGCGGTAGCCGGTGCAATCGGCCCCAAAAGCAATAACAAGATCCTCCAAGATCCAATTAAGGATGCCAACAGTGATGTTTCACCTTGCTCGACGAAGCTCTCACCTGGGGTGCAGCATCGACACTAGCGATACACAGGGGACCATCAAGACGCACCAGGTTCGAATTGACTACTCAAGTACCCTGCAAGTTCCATGCTGACAGGCTCTCTACCTCGATGCGTAAAAAAATAAGTTTTTATGAATGCAATGGATCCTTCTGTTCCGCTTGCCTGCTTTTCCTACTTCCCTGATCTTTTGTCTGAAGGACACAAAATCTGAATGGCAAAGATCCGTGTCGATACCGAACTGGCCAACGCATATGTCAAGGCTTTTTCTCTACAAATTCTGCAGCCGCTATCTCGACCTCATCAAGCCCAACCAAACGCGCCTGGGCTCCTTCTGTGGCAGGTAGTTCAAGCGAAAGGTTAAGCAGCAACCGTGGGAATTTGCCGGTGTCCGACATAGCTCCAGCAAGCACGGGAACAGAACTGTTGGACTCGATAACGGACTTGCCACGCTTGGTAGTGACGACAACCGCAATACTGAGAGCCAATAGCGCAGAGCAGCCAACGACCGATATGATGCAGTTAATGAATGGAATAGATACTTGCGTTACGAAGACGTTGATGTTACCGATAAAATCGGGGACCCATCGGCCATCATTGGAGGAAATCGTGTGCAACACGGCCGCTTTGAAGAGGAAGTGGAACCCCGCGGTGTAGCTCATTTGTAGACTTTCCTCGGCGAACAAATGGTTTGCCACAGTGTTGTTGATGTACGAATCGGCTTGAAAGGAGCACGACAATGGGTCGACGGTGGTAAGGTAGTCTCCGGCTTCCTGCGCAACGAAATCAAAGTTTCGGGGCAAAAGTGTTCATGAGTCTTCGGGAGCGCCGCCAATAGATGCACATGGACGAGGAGAACGTGTGGACACATCCGCCGATGACTCGGAGGATCCGACGGCAACAGGAGAGCCGGCGGCAGCCGGGCTCTGGGTACACCAATGACTACCCATATATACTGAGATCAAGTCAAGCGGAAACCGGGAGTAATCCGTCTGATGAGAGGCACCAACGAGCACAAGGAGAACAAGAAGGAAAGCAGGAGGGGAAGACTAGAGAGTAGTTTGAGAGACGATAACATTTAATCTCACTTCGGAATTTGCCCCCTCAACCACAAGCTACAAACCAACAAAAAGTATGGGTAGAGCCTTGTCGACTTGAACGAGCTTCTACCAGACCATATTACCATACGAAAAAAGAACCAAGTTGCCGGGAAACATCACTCCTAAATCAATGCTGCCGTGTAGGGAATCGGTTATGCTGCTTTCACTAGCGAGGAGTATCTTGCTCTGCTGCTTTAGCGAATCGGTGCTGAGCCGAACGCCATAGCAGTTCGAAAATTCGTCGGCGCAGCCGGCTTCGAAGGCAGCAGCTAAATCCTCCGAGGTCCAGTTAAAAACACCAATCGTGAGTGAGTACGTTGTACGAAGTTCCGATGCGACGATGTTCGGCTCATCACCGACCACCGTTAAGTTGAAGTGTTTATCACTGATTCGTTTGCCGAGAGATGAAAGGAACAGTGCGCACCCTGATTCAAAATCCATAGCTTCGCTGCAGAATGGTGTTGCCTTTACGGCCGGCTTAATAGTGTGTGTCGAAGCGCCAAACAACGAATCATTGAGTAACAAACACCCATCTGGGGTGCGCTGCGCCGAAATGGGAATGGTTTGCTCTCCATCTGCTGCATTCACTGCTCGGGTCGGAATGTCAAGGTAAACGACGTGTAGGTGAGAGAGTCTGCAAGTTCGTGGATGTGGTAGGCTGCACCAACTTCACCCACGACGATGTTCGCCGCTTTTCCCAGGAGATCGTGCAGCATCATGGATGCGGCTGGAATGAACTTATCGCCAGCAAATGCCATCAGTTCCCCAACAGTCAGGTCCTCGTCATATTCAGATTCATAGGTCGCGTTCCAGCAGCCGCTCGACTGTCTTTTACAAAGCGGTAGAAATCGCCATCATCTCCATGACTGACAGTTAAACCCCAAAGATCTCCAAGATTATCAAACAACTCCATCAGAGCCGTGATATACATCAACTGAGCCGTCTCAAGTTGAGCAGAAAAAGCAAAATCCATATCACTTACGTCACCGCGAACAGGAAGCTCGAATGTCTCCTTTGGTTCGATAGCCGTCGGCAGGGCGTCCAGCAGCCAAGTGCTCTCAGGATAGCCAAACACGACCTGTGGGGGCTCGACCAGCGCTCCGACTATTGGAAGCAGACTCTCAGCATGGTTCTCGCACGTGAATCTAACGTTTTTGACCGGGGTGTATCGAGTGCGCAAGATGGTGTTCAGTGCCGAATTGTTGAGGGCTCTCTCGATCAGCGATGGGTTCCACGCAGAGCTGTCGTATGTTGGAACGGTCACAGCCAAGTCTTCCGCCACAATCCACAAATGGGTCCGTCCCGGAACTAGCTGGACATTCACCGAGGTCGGCCTGTTGCATATCAAGACCCCTAGAGCAGCCTCCGCAAGTGTTGGGGCCACCCCCAGCCAGAAACCCGTCTCGCTTTTAGTAAACCATTTGGCACCCAGACACAATAGAACCACGGCGACCAGCGGTTCGACAGCAACCTCGATGGCTTTGTTGACGGCCGACATGAAGTTGCTCATCCTCGAATTGTACTTGTCCAGCAGCTCTTTACGCTCCACGTCGTTGATTTCGCCGACCTCGACGGAAAAGAAACTAGCTCCATTGCCCGAAAAGAACGCGAGAACCAACCCTGTCACTCCAACGATGAATAGAGCCACGGCGAGGATCTTAACGACGGAGAAGTCGATCCGCAACTGGTTGCCACTGCCATTGTTCGGTCCAGCGTTCACAGCCTGATCCAACTTGATTTTCTCCTCGGAGGCTGACGCCTAGGGTAGTACGGGGTGAATCCATGACGGCTTCCCTTCCGATGACATGGAACAGCCAAACGCGAGCTTTCACCGACCTAGACGCGAGATGCCGACGAACTTGACGAGGGCGTGAAAACTAGTTGCAGGTTGGTCGCAAAAGCAGAAGTGAGGACAGTTATAAGAGAGACCAACGAAGCAGGTCGTCGATACCAAGTAAAAACGTGAGAGCAGCCGGGCAAGGCCAGATAGTCGCCATAAGCGCATTGTCCTTTTCCTCGTTAGAACGTGACTTGACTTTTTGAGACGGGCAACGGCTTTGGGGGGAGCCAACAGGGTACCCTTGGCTCGAAACGACAATTTCCGGACGCGCGAAACCAGAATAGCACGATTGAGTCAATAGGGGGGGGGGGGTCAGAATTAGCTTTTTCGCCGACATTTTTCGGCCGAAATGGTCACCATAAAAAATATGGTCAGCCGACATATCCATTTCGCGAAATGGTTCACCTGTTTGGCCGAACCATTTCTGAAATGGTCAGACATTTCCCGAAATGGTTGACCATTTTTTGGCTTCTGGTGACCTTCACTCTGTTTATCTTGCTAAATGTATTTACGTCGATTTACACAAATGTCGAGCACGTGCGTTGCGATGCACCAGCGCGCGGAGCGAGCCGGCGGCGGCAGCGGCGACGCTCTTCTGGACGCTCCTGCGCCGTGCACATCGCGGCCTGGAGCTAGCGCAAGCTCACGCGCGTGTTGTGTGGTGCTGCATGGCGCCATGGCCTGCTACCACGCAGCGCCACAACGGGCCCCGCGGTCTGCTGCCCATGCGTGGCAGACAGCTAACGGGCAGCTAACGCTCCTACATTCCTACGTGCGTCCTCTACGCAGCGCTGCTGTCGCAGAGGCGCCCATCGGCTCCAGCTTGCTGCCCGAGCCACAGGGCACGCGCAGCAAGCTGCAGCCTTGCATAGATAAGCTATTCCGGTCATTTCATATGAGACAGCCTCAAACAAAAATATACTTTTTGGATGGTGCACTTGTTGGTCCGTACGGCCTGGAGCCACCACTAGTAGGAAAAAGGAAAAAGATTGAATGGCTGAGCCTCCCAGCTCTTACCACTACTCTCGGGCTTGAGCCCGTTTCTCATGCAACGACCCGCAGCTCTCAGCTCTGCTAATTTTCTCAGGTACCTAGCCTCAGCTTTCGCCCGGGTCTCAACTCTGACCTTCAACTTGGTCTTCAATGTGCATTCCAACACGCCTCCCTCGAAGCATGAGCTTCGACTAATCCGCATCACCAATGCCGGCCAGCCCCAGCATGTTCTGCACACGCAGCTTGTCGAGCGGCTTCGTGAAAGTGTCAGCGGGGTTCACCTCGCCTCTTATCTTGTGCAGTTCAATCACGCCTCGTTCAGCTTGCTCACGCACAAAGTGCCAGCGCAACTCAATGTGTCGGGTGCGACCGCTGTAGGTAGGATTCGTAGCCATGATGTGCGCGGCTTGGTTGTCGATACCAATGCGCAGCTTCAGACACTTGTGTGGCAGTATTTCCTGCAGAATGTTGCTTTCTGCAACTGCCTCCATTGTCGCTTCACAGGCGGCCACGTACTCTGCCTCAGCCGTAGATAGAGCGACGATGGATTGGCGTCTCGACATCCAGGATACCGCCCCACCAGCCAGCGTGAACACGAAACCTGTCGTGCTTTTGCGGGTCTCCGGGTCGTTGGCCCAGTCACTGTCGCAGTAGCCCTCAAGCACCACAGTCTTCGACTCGCTCGACTGTCGGTCATACGTAATTCCATCCCCAACATGCTTGCTGGATGGCTTTGCTACAAAGCGACTCAGCTGGCTCAGTGCGAACGCCAAATCAGGTCGGGTACTAGTGGCCAGATACATTAACCCACCCACTGCCTCTCGATATGGAAAACTGGTGTCGCTTTCTTCATCATCACCAAGCGGCACGAGGCGAGCATTCACCTCCATCGGGTTCCCAACCGAGTGTGCCTCAGCGTAGCCAAACTTCTCCAAAATTTCTCGAGCGTACTTGCTCTGGCGGATGTGAAGCGGTCAGCGTTTTGCTCCACTTCCACCCATAGATACTGCGTCAAAAGTCTCTAGTCCTTGAGTCCGCACTCCTTGTCCAGGTCTTCGAACAACTTCTCCTTCTGCTTTTCATCCTGGGTCGCCACCCAGATGTCATCCACATAGACCAAAACCAGCATGATCTCCTCACCTTCAACATGATAATATAGGCAGGGTTCAGTCAAAGACCGTTGATAGCCACGATCCAGCATCCACCGGTTCAACTCGGTGTTCCATTCACGTCCAGACTGTCTTAACCCATACAATGCCTTCACTACCACGTAGATGTGCCCATCCATTTCACAGGGGAACCCCTCAATCGACCTCACATACTGTCGTATTCCTAGCTTCGCGTTCAGGTATGCTGTATTGATGTCTCCGCCATAGAGCGTCAGATTCAGTGCTCCTGCTAGTCCAACCATCAAACGAAACGAAGACATACGAGCCACAGGCGAGAACGTATCACCGAAATCGATTCCAGGGCGCTGGCAGTTGCCAAGTGCAACCAGCCTCGCCTTAAAGCGAATTACGTAGCCTTGCGTTGTGTGTCTGGTAGCGCAGAACTCTCACCAATGCCCTCGCTACGGCCTGGACATCGACAAGTCCGTGGGACTATTCCCCAGTCTCTCAGTCAGCGAAGCTCTCGACAGCGTTGCAGAATCCACGCTAGCGATGCAAATGGGGCCACTCAAGACGCGACAGGATCGGATTGACTTCCGCGCAGCTTCCATGCCCGACATGCGCTTCTCGTCCTCGCTAGTGCGTCTGTCCGACAACTCGCTGCGGCTGATTCGGGCGCGAAGGTACTCGGAGGTTGGTGATATCCGCGTTCTTCAAGCAACTCCAAGAGGATAGCCATTCAATGTGTGTGTGCAAGTGTGTTCAACCGCAGGCATTGTCTTGCAACCGGGGGTACTTATGAATGCGAATGTCATTGTTTTGCTTATTTTTTTCCTGGTAATGTAGAGTATTCATTGAAAGTCAACCGAGAGGTGGTGTGGTCACCAGTATGCAAAGGAAAGTAAAATGAATTCTGATGTTAGCTCCAACTCTAAACTAGTGCTTGTCCCTGCTCCTGGTTTTTGCCTACGAATTCGTACAGCTTCTCGAATCCGGCTTCTAGAACTCTAAGCACCAGAGCGAGAATTGCTTCGGATCGTACAACATGCACTGCGGCAGACACGAGACTGGCCAGGGCTGGCCACACTGGTCTACCGCTCTTGAAATATGCAATGCCACTTGGCCATGGTGTATCGAGTGCGTTTAAGTTTCATCCAGCTGTGCCTTGAACTCCTCGTTCTGTTGCTGTTCTGCGTAGTTGGCCACCAGCACTGGCACGTCGCGCAGCATGGTCTGCAGTGGCTCCCATGATTCCTCGATGTCATGCAGGCGTCGCCACGATACTAGTACTTCCCATTGTTGCGTTGCCGAGTTGTAGCGGTGGTCGCGAAAACACTCCACTCCTAGCACGATGCCTTGCTTGGCAACGTGCTCGAGGATCTCTTCATCGACGTTCATACTTGCGTCGTCGTAGTACTTGAGCCTGGAACCATGAACGTCAAAGGTGTCACCAGTAAGGAGATGCTCCACCATGAACGAGTATTCGCGAGCTTCTGTCACGCAGTAAGGGCCCACCCAGCGTACCATCAATTTGGTGCCGCGTAGACGCTCGTCGACACGAGACCAAAGTACATAGTCTCCAACGCTGAAGTTCTCGAGTTTCCCCTCCTTAGCCATTTTCTGATACATACGGGTCTTCTCCTTTCGATCCACAACCTCTTGATGCATCGAGTGTAGGCTCTCACGCAGCACCTCTAGCTCCTCCTCCACTGTGTCCATGTTAATCTTCATCAACTTGGCCTTGGTCTGCAACGTGCGGGGGAGCAGCACCGTGTCCAGCTGCGTCGACACTTGGAGGCCTGTGAAGAGCTCTAGGGGTGCATTGCCACCAAGCGAGTTCACGGGCGTTTGGTTCAGATTGGCCTGCACGAGAGGCACCAAATGCTCCCAGCTCTTGGTGTCGAGCTGGTATTCCAACAGCAGCGCTCTCACCACCTGGAGCACGTCTCGGTTGAGGCGCTCGACAGTGCCGTTCACCCACGGAGTGTAGACGGGCACGAATGTGTGCAGCGCCCTTAATCGTTCCCGCAGATTCTCCATCAACTCGTTCTTGAAATGGGTGCCATTGTCCGAAACCCACATTGCCGGCAGTCCGAATCGTTGAGCCCAATCCAGTATAGCCGCCACGGTCACCGTGCTTGTAGGTGAATCACTCGGCACTAACTCACAGTAGTGCGTCAGTTCATCCTTCAGTACCAGCAAATAGCGCGTGCTTCCGTACGAGTCTCCCATAAACAGAAAATCGAAGTGCAGTACCTCGTTGCGTCCGGCAGGCTCGGGGTGATCGCTCCATGGACGCTGGATAAGCTGGCTGCCTCTGATGTGCTTACAGAGCAAGCAGTCTGCGACGAATTCCCTGACCACCTTTCCCATGGACTTAATCCAGTACTGCGCCTGCATCTGGCGCAGCATGACGTCGGCTCCCCGGTGAGTGTTCAAACCGCAGTGAGCCACGATGAGACTGCGCGTGATCAGATCCTTGGCCGGCGCCGGGATCCACACCTTCCCCTCCACCTGAAGGAGCTCAGAGTCCGGTGCGACCGACGCAGTCGCCGTCGACGGCGCTGAGCGGCGGTGGCGTTGCTGCGCCCCTATGACTTGATCAACAGATGGCCACACGAAAGCTTCGTCACTAAGCGGACGAAGGCGCGAGAGCTCACGGAACGACCGAGTCCGCACAGCCTTGACAGACACTTGAGAGGTGTCGGCGGGAGCCAACCAGCGCGACACTAAATCCGCCCAATCGTTCTTAGAGCCCTTGACATGTTCGATTTCATAGCGGTAGTCCGACAGCATCAGGGCCCACCGCTGCAACTTTCCGCGCACATGCTTGCGAACCTCCGTGTGGGGGCAGAAGATCTGAATGAGATTCGCGTGGTCGCAAAATAATTTGAACCCTGCTTCGCGGTGCAGCAGATACTCCAGGTCCTTCGCAGCCTTGATAATGGGATAGCCTTCCTTCTCTGCAATCGACCAGTGTAGCTTAGCACCCTTAAACATACCGCCCTTGCAGATTAAAAGCTCGTGCGACTGGTCGGTCAAGATCTTATGGTCATCCCAGCACTCCACTTGCGAGACAATGAGTGGCCATCCTCGGTCCGAGGCATCCGTAGTCACGCACACAGTAGCCGCCTCGCTAGGGAACGCCAGCTTCGTTGATCGAGCCACAGAGTCAAGGAACTCGCGATAGTGGTGCTTCTCCTCAGCCGTCCACGTGAGCGCAAGTCCTTCAGCATAACGCTGCTTCCGACTGTGTTCTTCAAATGCACTCTCCAGTTTGGCTTGAAGTGGGGCCGCATGCTGGGCAAAGTTCACGATAGATTCACGCAACCAATTAGCTGCGCAAAGCAGCTTCTGCAAATCTGCCGCTGTGGCTGGAAGCGGCAGTGAACACAGAGCTGCAACTCGTTCGGGATCGTGGCGAACGCCCTCACCGTCAATGAGGCGTCCGCACCAGGAGATCTCACGCGCGAAGAGACAGCTCTTGTTGGCATTGAGCTTCAGACCATACTCGCGGAGGCGAGCGAAGAATTTCTTGAGCACCGCGATGAACTCCTCCGCAGTCTTAGCGAACACGACGATATCGTCCACCCAGATCAGTACGTTTTCATACACCATATCGCGAAACACCTCCTGCATTTGGTTTTGGAAATGGATCGGCGAGTCGGTTGCTCCTTGTGGCATGTGTACACAGTGTCATTCGTGATGAAGCTGAAATATTCACGGCAGTCCGGGTGCAGCAAAAGCTGCCAGAACCCCTTGAAGAGATCGAACGTTGCGAAGAAGCAAACCCTTAACCTTGGCAATCACCACCAGTAGGTTTGGCATTGCACCTGCGATAGGCACGGTGCGCTTGTTGATCGGGCGGCAGTCGGGGGCGCACCGAAAGTCTTCGACGGGACCCTTCTTGCGAACGGGAATGGCCGCACAAGCCCACCTACTCTGATTGTTACGTACAACCAGCTCAAATTCTTCCAGCTGCCTGCCGTAGTCCCGAAGGAACTTGGGTTTCAGCTCAGAGTACTGGCGAGGCTTCGTTCGATACGGTGTGGAGCCGTCGACCAATACGACTCGCAGTGGCTCGAGCTTGGCGGGTGGGTCCGCGCCTAGCTTCGTCCGCCATAGATCAACTTCTTCCTTGGTGGCATCTCGCAGCGCATCCTTAAATTCGTGTGGAAACCTGGCCTTGACAGCGTCGTCCAACATTACGTCGAGTCGGTCCATGATTTCATCCAGGTTGGTCGCGCCCACGATGTCATCCTCCGGTATACCATCCTCGTCCTCCTCGGGGCCACCTTTGGCTGCGAGGCGCTCCAGGAGATGATCCACGTTGATCCCAAGCGACTTCAGAGTTCGATCACCAAGTAAGAACTCATCCGCATCTCCATCGATCACTACACACTGTAGTCTGCGCAGATTGACCGGACTGGCAGCCGTTAATAGCTGCACGTCAACTTCACACATCTCGGTGCAAGGAACGAGCCGTCCGTCTGCCACTTTAACCTTCATCGGCACATCCAGCTCTTCCACCACGAGGTCATCATCCAGTTTCCTCAGTTCATGCGTAATGTGGCGGGTAATCACGTCGTAGTCAGCGCCAGTGTCGGCTCGGAAAGGCACCTCCAATATGCCATTCAAAATGGCTGCACGCTCGCCGGGCTGCCCTATTGATCGCACAGTCTTCACACGCAAGCGCTGGTTCTTCATGTCATTCATTCGTTTTAGGGCTGCTTCTTTGTCTGCCTCACTAGCGGTGGGGCAATCCTTCACCCAATGTGCTCCATTGCACACGAGACAGCCATCGCGCGGAGGTGCGCGGGGCTTGTCGGCTTCTTGTTTCGACTGCTTGGGCTTGCTTGATGACGAGTGTTGGGGCTGTGAAACACGAGGCTTCAACGAAAGTGCTGGCTTCTTGTTGGAGTGATTGGTCTTGGGGTTGCTACGAGGTTTATCCACCTGCTTGAGCTCCTGGGCCAGCATGTGGTAGTGCTGCTGCTCTCGTGCGCGCTCGACTAAGGCCTCGTAGAGCGCAATATTGTCCTTCTGGAGTACCGGCTTGGCGATGACCAGGCGCTCCATCTCCAGCCTCAACATCTCTGGCGCAGTGTTCCTTAGCAGGTACTTGCAACGCAACTTCATGCGTTCGTCGTAATTCGGTTCATTTTCGCGTCCACTACCGAGGATTCCACCCAAACCATGGTCCTCCACAATCTTGTCAAACAGCACGACGTAATTCACCACACGAGCTTCGGTGTCTTCGATCTTAAGGTCCATCTTCAGTTCTTCCTTGAAAAGCTGGTCCATGTCCGGGATGCGGCTATTTTGCAGCGCTGAGCAACGCCGCGTGATCTCCAGGCCGAGATCTTCATCGGTCACGTCAGCCGCTCGCTTCTTCAGCACGAAGCGAGCCTGGTGGTCCAGGATGCGCGGCTCGATCGAGTTGCGGATCGAGGTGACAACGTGCTCGTACTGCTCGCCAGTAACCGCGCAGCGATTGCGAATCTTGGCTTCGTACTGGCGGCGCTAGGAGATTAGGGGCGCCTGGTCCCAGGCACTCAGGCTCGGAGGCTGAACCACCTCGAACACTGGCTGCGGCACGGTCATCTCAACGTCTCCGTCTGCGTCCGTGGCCATCTTGCTTGTCTAGGCTTTACGCCGTGCAGGTCGACTTGATGCTGTAGCGGTCGGCCCGCTTCTTCCTCTTGCCGCGGCTTCTGGTTCGTCCAGAAAGTATACTTTGTGGTCACCAGTATGCAAAGGAAAGTAAAATGAATTCTGATGTTAGCTCCAACTCTAAACTAGTGCTTGTCCCTGCTCCTGGCTTTTGCCTACGAATTCGTACAGCTTCTCGAATCCGGCTTCTAGAACTCTAAGCACCAGAGCGAGAATTGCTTCGGATCGTACAACATGCACTGCGGCTGGCCACAGGTGGGGAAGTGAGCGTGGGAGCTTGTCGGTATTCGCCATGGCCTCAGCCAGGACGGGGACTGAGCTGTTGCCTTCAATAATGGACTTACCGTGGGTGTGCGTCGCGGCAACCGAAAGGCTAAGCGCAGAAGCACGCAGCAGCCAACGATCTACAGGATACAGTTGGTAGGTGAAATAGACACTTTGAGCGTAAAGTGGTGGCTGTTTCCCGCCAAGTTATCATCAATGGCATGCAGGACGCCATTCTTAAACGCGAAATAGAGTCCCGCGGTGTAGCTCATTTGTAGACTCTGTTCTGCAAACAAATGATTCCCCACGGTGTTCTTGAGAAACCTGTCGGCTTGGTTTGAGCTCGAATCCCTCATGGCCCCGTGGAGATAATCTCTTGCTGCCTCGCTGCCTCGTCAACGTGAGCAAAGTTACGAGGAAGCAGCGTTGGTAGAACTCTGTCGACTTGCACCAGCTTTTGCCAGACCAGCAAATCGCAAGGGATCATTTTCACATCTGCAGCTAGAACCGCTGCAACATCAAAGACGTCGTCCATGGTATCGGTGCTGTCACCCTCCAGGAGTACCTTACTTTTCTGCTGTAAGCACTATGTGTTGAGCGTGACTCCGGAACAATGAGTCATTTTGTCGGCACCTTCAGCATCTAGGATGGCCGCGTCGACTGGGAGGGTTGGAATTGTAAGCGGTAGTGACGTATACGTGACAAACTCTGGAAGTTGATGTTTCTGGTAGGCAGCGCTGACTTCTTCCGTAGCAACATTCGCAGCGCTATTTAGCAGATTTTGGAACCTCGCACTTGCCGCTGGTACCAAGTTACAACAGCAAACGCCATCAGGTCACGGAAAGATTCTCGGTGTCGGCAACCTGAACATTG